CCTAACCAACATGGACACTCGCTAAATGACCTAACCAACATGGACACTCGCTAAATGACCTAACCAACATGGACACTCGCTAAATGACCTAACCAACATGGACACTCGCTAAATACCCTAACCAACATGGACACTCGCTAAATGGCCTAACCAACATGGACACTCGCTAAATGACCTAACCAACATGGACACTCGCTAAATGACCTAACCAACATGGACACTCGCTAAATGACCTAACCAACATGGACACTCGCTAAATGACCTAACCAACATGGACACTCGCTAAATGACCTAACCAACATGGACACTCGCTAAATGACCTAACCAACATGGACACTCGCTAAATGACCTATCCAACATGGACACTCGCTAAATGACCTAACCAACATGGACACTCGCTAAATAACCTAACCATCATGGACACTCGCTAAATAACCTAACCATCATGGACACTCGCTAAATAACCTAACCAACATGGACACTCGCTAAATAACCTAACCAACATGGACACTCGCTCAACAAATTAACCAACTAGGTCCTGTAGCGCCACCGTGTGGTCACCTGGTACCTACTGCAGTGCCTGGCGCGGTGACAGCAGCAGTGTCACTGTGCGGCGTCTTCACGGCTTCATCGCAGCCAACCCGCTTGGGACTAACTCCAGGACGCCGCAGCAGCAGCAGCAGCGACTCACAACTGCGGGGAACGCGCGGTGTGACGCCTGACAGCGGCAACTGCTGGCGAACTGTGTTGGCCTACACTGCACATGTCCACCACATAGCAGACTTCACCACGAATTGAATGCGTGTGGTAGTAAATCTTGACTTGTGGTACTGCACTTGTCCACCAGAGGGCAAACGTAACACGTCAAGCGCCGGGGAAAAAAAAAAAACTCTGCGGCCGATTTGCATTGCAATTCTTTATTTCTTCACGGATTTTCAAGTAACAAACTATTGCATTGACATCCCAAGCTGTCCTATACGTTTACACCGTTGAATATTTGGTGAACATCGGTGCTGAAATAGTGAAACGCACTGCATTCCCAAACAGTGCGCTTCAAATCGGCAACAATCACAGCCATCATTGACTTCAATGCAAAATGCCGCCCCGGTTCCACAAGTCACACAACAAGCAAGTGGTGTGTGCCCTTCGACTCTACTCGACAGCGTCGCGCCATATACAATTCAATTCATCTCGCTGAGACGCGTTTAAAGGCATATCAATTGGGGTTTGGGATTAGGGTTAGGAATTAGGTTTAGGGGTTAGGATTAGGGGTTCGGGTTAGGGTTACGGGTTATGGTTAGGGTGCGGGTTAGAGTTATGGTTAGGGGTTTAGGTTAGGGTTAGGGGTTAAGTTTAGGGTTAGGGGCTAGGGTTTAGGTTTAGGGGTTAGGGTTATGGCTGACGGTTAGGGTTGGGTAGTTAGGATTAGGGCACCTATACAGTTTTATGCCAAAATCATCAAAATTTTCATAGCTACATTTTCCAAGAAAAAGTGAATTCCTCCCTTTTGTTTAGCATTAGTATGTTATATATTGCATTAAAAGTTGGATATTTCACCTTGAACATTTCATGTAAAAAAGAAGCAAATCGGCATACTAACCTATGCCATTTTTGGCCAATATTGGCCAAATTTTTACAGCTTTCTTTTTCAATCCTACTAGTGGAAATACCCGGCGTTGCCCGGGTGAAAAATATATTTCTTAAAAACCTTACATATATATACACATATATACCAAGGTGTAATGCGGGCGTGGACGACCTTCCGGAGGTGACGTCATGGGGGGAGGAGTTACGTCACGTGGGGGAGAGGGTTCAGGTCTATAAAGGGAGAAACCAGAAGCAGTAGGGAGTGATCGGAGACTGGGAAAGTGTGAGGCCACGCAGGGCGGAGTGGGGAAGAGAGAGAGTGGCGAGATCGCCACACACACACACACCTCGAGGATCGGCACCGTCAGCCAACGGTGACCGACCCCGGGGCTGGAGGAGCAGCGAGGAGACTGCAGAGAGAGCAGCGGGTCTGCAAGGGGTGGAGTTCGGCAGCGGGGGTCTGCGCGACGAGACAGCAGCGGGTCTGCAAGGAGGGAAGTGGGCTATGTGAGCGACAGCAGCCTGGGGCTGCAGAGCGAAGAGTATATAGGGGAGTGCTGTGAAGTGGGCTACGTGAGCGATAGCAGCCTGGGGCTGCAGAGCGAAGAGTAAAGGGGAGTGCCGTGAGGGAAAAGAGATCGAACCCAAATAAAGGACACAGGACAGAGAGAAGCGTCCGAGTCTTTTATTACAAAGGTATTGTGAAAGCTCAGTGGGCCGTTTGTACATTTCTATACCAACAAATATATGAGAGGCTTGCACAAGTCCAAAAAGTTGTAGAAAGTGTGGGGTAAATAGTTGATGTAAAAGGTTTCCGAAAATTGTGGACCCCCCCCCTCCCCTCAAAAAATATAATTACCCCTCGTAGGTATATATACCTACACACCTTACATACAACAAAGTAGTATCTATTGGCTCTGTAGTAGTATCTACTGACTGTACCGTAGTATCAACTGAGCCAGTAGTAGCTACTGACTGTGTAGTAGTATTTATTGGCTGTAGTAACTACTGACCATAGTAGTATTTACTGGGCCTACAGTAATATCTACCGACTATATAGTCGTAACGACTAACTGTATAGTATCTGCTGACTACTTGTATCCACTGACTATAGTAGTAACTATTAAATCTATAGCAGCATCTACTCACTCTATAATAGTATCTATTGACTCTAGTAGCTACTCACCGTAGCAGTAAGTACTGACTGTATAGTAGTATATACTAACTGTAGCAGTATTGACTGACTGTAGTGGTATATACTGACTGTTTTAGTATCTACTAACTCTATATAGCAGTATCTACCAACTCGATATTAGTATCTACTATCACTACAGCAGTGTATACCGACTGAGGTGGTACCTGCTATCACTACAGCAGTGCATACTGACTGGTGGTACCTGCTATGATTATAGCAGTGCATAGTGACTGGTGGTACCTGCTATGATTACAGCAGTACATACTGTGTTGGTACCTGCTATGATTACAGCAGTGCATATTGTGGAGGTACCTGCTATGATTACAGTAGTGCATATTGTGGTGGTACCTGTTATGATTACAGCAGTGCATATTGTGGTGGTACCTGCTATGATTACAGCAGTGCATACTGACTGTGGTGGTACATACTATGATTACAGCAGTGCATACTGCTGTGGTGGTACCTGCTATGATTACAGCAGTACATACCGAGTGTGGTGGTACCTGCTCTGATGAGAGCAGTACGTACTGTGGTGGTGGTACCTGCTATGATTACAGCAGTACATATTGACTGTACTCACCACTCACCCTCACCATTCACCACTCACAGCTCACCCTCACCACTCATCCTCACCACTCACCCTCACAACTCACCAATCTCCCTCACCACTCACCCTCACCACTCACCACTCACCCTCAACACTAACCCTCACCACTAACCCTGACCACTCTCCCTCACCACTCACCCTCACTCTCACCATTCAACTCACCATTCAGCCTCAGCACTCACCCTCACCACTCACCATCACAACCACCACTCACCCTCACCACTCACCCTCACTACTCACCACTCATCCTCGTGGGGTGTCGAGGCCTAGTACCGTGCAGAGCCTCCGGCCTCGCCTAGATTGCCCACCCGGCCGAGGCTGGGTGCTGTGGCCGTTACCCCCCCCCCCCCCCCGCGCTACAATAATACTGTCTAATCGCTATAATTTTATTATCTACCGACCCTATGATAGTAATTGCACACATTGGGGTGGGGGGGGGAGTGAAGAGGACGTGAAACTTTGATGAATTTACCTCAGCGTCGCGTGTTAATGCGCGTGCATATTTTTAACGGGAATTAAAAATGGCGTCCACCCCGCAGCGACAGCGTTGCTGCCCGTTGCCAGGGGCCAGCCGCCCGTTGCCAGGGGCCAACCGCCTTCCCGCATGACACGTGCCGGTCGGCAATAGTAAGTAAATAAATAAATAGAAATCGCACGCAATCGATAATCGGTCCGATTTAAAGTTTAGAGACGAAAAATCGGAAATGCCTAAGTTTACCGCGGGGTCGGGGGCGTGCCCACCTGCAAAATTTTATCTCGGCGAACCCCACGGTCCGAGAGCTAAATCCCCTGGAAGCGAGCGTACGCAGACGGACAGACAGACAAAAAATTAATTATATAGGTTAGATATATTACGTAGAAAAGTTGGAAATTTCATCATGAAATTTTCAAATAAAAAATAGAAAATCGGCATGCTGCGTCAGAGTAGAGTGTAATGTACTACTGGGCATTAATGCTACTTAATCGACGCCTCCCTGTTGCGTGACACACAGATGCGAGCTGTGAGCGCCACTGTGTACCACGTGCAGAGGAGTCATTTGTTCTTGAATCAAGGGTGCCAGAGATTTATCGCATTTCTCACCCAACGCGGCATTCCCCACCATCGAACGTCAAGTTTGCGCAGAGATTAACAGCGTTAACTGCTGTGAACCTGGCAACCAGAGCTCCATTGCTGGCCACGGCTAACAACATCAGTGGCGAGTAATATTTCAAAACCCCGGAATAGCACGGTTGGCTACGTACGGTGCGAGAGAAGTTCAATATTTTAACTAGTCCCGGGCCCTCCCCATTCTTTGCCAACCTGCACTAAACAGCCTGGAGAAGTATGGCCAAACAACACCCAGTGGCCCACGTGCTGTGGAGAGACCATCGCCCAAAAGTGGATGACAAAGCTGTAAATGATTCCTATCGCGTAGGTTCTTCGCTGGTTGTCCGCGTGTTCCGCGCGACGTCCGACATCTCGCTTCGTGCGCTCGATTCGGTTCCAGAAGAAGCTGCCGGGGGACGCGGAGCGAAACGTCGGGCATCGTGCCAAAGCAACACGACCAGAAATATCTCACATTTCACTCAAGTCGCGCGATTGCAGACAACAACCAAGGATAATCGGAACCGTTCAATGTGCACTCTTTCAATCTTTTAATATATTAAACAGACGTTCCCGCCCTAGTACATCGTCCAAATGCTCCACGCCCACGTTTGGATCGTGCGTGCTTCACATCGTACGGTCTACGCGTTGGCTCGTCTGTTACAGTCGCTTTGGGTTCCGGTGCCGTGCATTGGGACAGAGTCAGAATGTTGCCCAGCCGCTCAATGGAGACCCTCCTATGGGGGTCACACCGTTGCTGCTTTGTAAGCTTCATGGGTCATATTGCATTTTTTTTAAACCGTTTTTGTTTTACTTACGGCTCTACCGGATTACACCCTACACGACCACAGTGCTGTCTTGTACAAAACCCACCTCTCGTTATACCGTTAGAACAAATCCACACCTTGCATTCAACGAATTGTCATGAGTCATGGGGCTGCAATTAAATTTAATAAAATCAACCCCCTAATGGTAGTGCACTCTAGTGGCTGCAGGGAGCGACATGAACCCATCACACGCAACAAACACGGATTTAAATAATCGATAACGTACACACGCGATTAAAGGCATGTATTTGCAAGCTTAATTGAGGAATCAATCTTTCCATTCCTACATAGCACGACACATACAATGGCTCTGAGCGGAGGTTGCACTGGATACAAACGAGTAGCTCGGCAGCGCGTCTTGGGGTAGAGAATCCCATGTTCATGACTGCGTTCTTAAGGAGAAAATCCTGAATCGTTTTCAGGCCACCAATTGTGAATTTCAAACCAAAAAATTTACTCTCAAGCTCTCTTTTTTATCCACACGCGCAACCGAGCCGCGCCGGGGCTATGCCAAGCCGGCCCTGGTGTGGGCTCCAGTCGGCACCAGGTTGATTTTCTCACGACAAAACATGAACGGCTGGACAATCGCGACGAACAAATTAACCCAGCAACCGCCCGTCGCTCTGCTTGGCCCAGAGATATATGCAGATAGATGTCCTGTGACCCCAACGCATCACGGTTTCATTCCGGCTCGGCACTTGGAAAACGGTAGAAAGCCACCTGTGCCATGAGGGGCCCCCCGTACTGCCGCTGCTCGAATGTGCCAGTGGGAAAGGGAGTTTGAGGGCTCCCAGATGCCAGTGCTGGGATATTTTACATCTTGAGTAATTTTTTTTCTTCTCCAAATCATGGTTATGTGGGGCAATTGCTTTCCCCCCTCCCTCCCCACCGCCAATAACAGCAGATATTGATTAATTTATTTAAGAACGCTTGCGTAGGCCGACAAGAGAGGGTTGGTCACAGATTATTGGTTCCACTATATTATGAACCTTGTTAGAATAGACCAGGAATTCTCAATTTTCAGTCTCCGTGACCCACTGTGGTGCAAGGGCTTTCATTTCGACGATCGTCTCTGGCGAGTGCGACGCGTAGAGGCTAAATGTGTGGTATTTAGATGGAGGGAGACTGCTGGGGGAACGGTGGTCGTAAATTACCGTAGCTAAGATAAACTATTGCCCCGAATGTTAGCAACTCAAGATTCAAAAAGGCTTGCAAACGGAGTTTCATTTTGGTAGAGGCCCGTTGTCGCAGTTTCTGGTCTCACATCGGATCAACCTCGTTCTGAAAAAACAAAACAAAAAACGAGCATTAAGTCCAACGTTAGAATTCGGCGAGCGGCAATGAGTTGGGTAAGCCTTTTGAGTTTCCACTGAACCCGAGAGGTTTTAATAATTTAAATTTTGGCTCCAAAGTCTGGGGGAACAGTGTGCGAATCCTTCCTTAAAATTGTAATAAATTCTTTTATTAGGCTTTCTTTGTTGTCAATTCGTATTCTAATTGTCAATTCAACATCGTGTCACAGGCAACCACAACCCGGGATTCCAACCCGGAATCTCCGTGCCACTGCCTCAAGATTTCCCTGAGCCACCCAACTGCGGGGAATCTTCAGGATTTGGATCACGTGATGACGATGTAGCGCGCGGGGAGTTGCTGTACTACCTTGGAGGGGTAGTCGCTGTCCTGGCTGATGTCATCAGAGCTGCTGCCTGCCCTGATGGCCTTGACTCTCTCCACTGTGTTTGACAGAGCCCTCAGGGCTCGCTCCTGCACAAGTGCACACACACACACACACGAAAATACATATAGTAACAAAGCCAGGTCCCCCGTATAGCCTTCACGGACTGTTGGGGCAAGTGCTGTTAGCGAGTAGCACCTACGAAGGACGGAACGGCGCACGAGGGGTGGGGGTGGCCAGCACCATGTCCTGGCAGCCCTTTTCTCCCGAGTGGCGATGTGTTTATACATCGCACCAGGTACTCAATTGGGGCCGAGTCGACCTCGGAGAAGCTCAGGACCGGTTCAGATAATCATCACATAGTACGAGCACACACACACACACGGACTCGAGCATAAACACATGCTACAAATGTGTAGAAAGATCTCCCGTATGAGCCTTCGACTGTTTGGCCAGGCACCGCAAGCGATCACCTACGAAGGCCGGCACGGCATACGAGGGGGTGGGTACGCCAACACCGCCTTTGTCTCCCCATTTCCCAGTGCCAATTGTTTACAAAGTACTCTTATAAGTCCATAATCAACGTTTTTGGGTTAGATCGCGTTATTTATAAATGTGTCGTAACCCTCCACCACCCGACACGGCCAATCAGCAAAAAAGTGTCACGTTGACAAAAGACAAAATAGTTCACTGCTTTAGCCCACCGGTGTGTTGAAGCGTGAAACCACAACATTTACAATTTTTGAGCACGACGTTTCGCTGGTAATTGCATCCAGCATCATCGGGCAATTCGCCAGAATGGTGAGGGGCTCTGCTCTTGCTCCCGGTCTTAAATAGAGCAGCAGCAGCAGGGTGACGTCTTATAAGGCTGAATTGGCTTCCTGGAGGCCCCGTGCAGGTTTAGATCTCACTCACCAATGGTGTTAGCCATGGGCAGGAATCAAACTTGGGTTGCTGGGTTTGCAGCGGTGTGCTACTACATCACTCCCAGGCCAACACACACACAGGTACAAAGACAAAGATCCCCCGTATAGCCTTAACAGACTGTAGGGACAAGTGCTGTTAGCGAGCACCTATGAAGGCTAGAATGGCCAGCACCACGCCCGACCACCTTTGTCTCCCCAGTGGCGATATTTACACTCCACACCAGGGTACTCATTTGAGGCTGAGTCGACCTAGGGGAGGCCCAGGACCGGTTTAGATAATCGTCACTGGTGTTGGCCGTGAGCGGGAATCGAACCCAGGTCGCCGGGTTCATAGCGCAGCGCGCTAACCGCTACACTACCGCTCCCCACACACAGGTACACGCAGGCAGGTGTGTACACACACACACAGGCTAGATCGAATACTCAGACAAGCACTCACATTAAAGGCACAAGGACAAAGATCCCGATGCAGCCGACAGACTTGTTGGGCTTTAGCTGTTTGCGAGCGCCTATATGAGCCGGAATGGCGTGCACACACATGTATGCGCACACACATGTATGTGCACACACAAAAGCGAAGGAGAGATGCACATCGACTTGACTAAATACGGTACGGCGTTAATTGATTTTCACCACACGCACACACTAGTGGTGGTGGCAGACATACGTGAAGTGGCCTTCAACGACCCTTGCAATACACATGTCCTCATGCGTAACGAGGCAATGTCTCCAAAGACCGTGTCAATAAAACCCGGACAAAAATGCCCGATGCACGGGCTTGTTGGCTTGGCTCTCCAGATGAGTGTTTTTATGGAAGCATCTGTGAATACAGCAAACATTCTGCAGCGGTTTCTCCATATGCGAGTGTCATCGGCAGGGTAAGGCCAGTTTAGAACGTACTTCGATCAGCTGTGCGGCAAGGTTGCTTTTCTCTTTCTGCAAGGCTTCCATACTGCCCTGCACTTCCAAACGCTCTTCCTGCAGCTGCAACGAAGAGCAGAGCAAATGTCAGAAATCCAGTCGCGTTAGAAAACTTAAAAACACTTTCAGAACCTAAATATACTAATAGGGGTTTTCCCCTTTTTTATGGCAACAAAACTGACACCTTTTGCAAGGAATCATGCTTACATTAACCACAATACTTGCAGTCAAATGCAAACAAAAAACAATACTCTGATAATTTATGCATTGTCTTTGAAACTGATTGGTCCACACCAGAGACAGCTTTCTTTGGAGCCTAGTCTCATATGGTGTTCGACCAGATGACGCCAAAATGCGCACAGTTCAAAGACAACGCACTACCAGAGTAATGAGAGCTCGGGGTGAGCAGCTACATCATGGGACCTCCTTTGCCAGTACCAAAATATACTAAGAAAAACCCTATTAGTATATTTGGTATACTAATAGATGACTTTCAGAGCCGTTAAAAGTTCATGCCAATTTTATACAAACTGCAGCCTGTTTCTCTTACAACGTCGCAGTTGCGTTCCTGAAGAACACCGCATTATCGAAATATCGCATTATAATAAATAATATATAATACGCGAGGTGCGTATGCAGGTTGAACAAAGTCTTGAGGCGCGTGGGTAGCATCTACAAATGTCCAGCAGCATCCCGCCTTGTGCGATGATGCTAAGCCGAGGCAGCCGTACAACCGCTTTTTCCGACTCGCTTGACGTAGTTCCCTTTACTCGATTGTGTTATATCCAATTCGCAGCCGCGTTATAACAAAAATGTGTTCCCCAATGCAGTCAACGCATCGTATCCAATGTGTGTTATGAAAAGACGCGTTGTAGGAGAAAAAACTGTTTTGGGAAACCAGAACCTAAACTAAGTGTTGGCCACCAGACCCTGCTGGACAGAGGTCGCAACCGGGTACCCGATACCCGTACCCTACCCGATACCCGGCTACCCGTACCCGGTCGGTTACGGGTACGGGTAGCCGTTTGTGACCCTGGTGCGGCCGGGTACGGATAGGCCGCGAGTCACTGGTGAGTCACCGTTTGTCACTCATTTCCCAACGTCTTGTCTCTTCTCACAATTCAAGTTCCTAGAATCAACCCACCCGCGCCTGCAGCATGGCTTCATCCCAGAGGTCGCAATCGGGTACCCGATACCCGTACCCTACCCGTACCCGGCCGGGTATCGGGTAGGGTACGGGTACCCGCTTGCGACCCTGGTGCGGCCGGGTACGGGTACGGGTAAGGAATCAAAATCCGTTTGCGACCTCTGCTGCTGGATCAAGGGCCGCCCCCTCCTCCATTCCCCGTAGGGCTCACTCCGTCCCATTCTGCACCTCTGCGGGCCACCCCAAAAGATTGAGGGGGCAACTCTCCTTACCGTGTGAACCTCCCTCTGTGCCTCGCAGAGGCGCTCTCTCCATCGCTTCTCCTCCGCCTCCACGCTGTTCTGCAGCCTCCAGAGGATCCCCTCCTGCAAGGGAAGAGTCGCCCCAGGGTTAGGCCCAGCGGGTCCCAAGATTTGGTTCGCAAGGCCATGGGGGGGGGAGGGTGGCCTGCGAAAATGTTGAAGATTCTACGATTTAATCCTTCACAATTTTCCCACAAATTTTTCCCGTCTCATTACAGAGCAGATTAACCCCTTTCCCGTTTGCAAGACGTCTTCAAGTTGGCAGGGTGGGTTGGGGGTCCCCGTTCACCGCCGAATCCTCGGAATGCGCAATCGGTTCAGCGTTAATTTTATTTAGAGACATAGCGTCGTTTTTAAAGACACCTTACTCACCGCAGAGAACCATAGTGACACGACCGCACTCTATGATAGCTGGCACAAAACTGGCACACGCCCTCCCGTAAGGTGATCGAATGGTGTCACCCACACAACACCAAGTTGTTTTTAACCGCTCTTGCCAAAAATCAAAAGCCCAACAGCCGTGCCTTTACAAATTTCACTTGATAAAATTTTACATAAGTTACCTCTTACCGTCTTAAATTTTTTATGTAGGTTGGCTAACTCGCATTTATTATGATCGCAGTAAATTCTTTAACAGGCGATGCAACAAGAATACTGGTCGGCGAGAACTTAGAGCCGGCTACAATGTCACGAACTAAACTTCACATTTAAACCGATGCCTCGCCAAGAATGAAAAAAACGGGCGTTTTGGCCAGCCGCCCTCACCGTGTCGGCCAAGACGGTCTTGTATCTGTCGCACTCGAGCTGCGCTGAGCTGTGCGACTCCTCCAACTCCCGCAGCCTGGAGTTGAGGCTCTGCAGCTCCTGCTCGGGATGCAGATCAACAACAACGACGACAACAACATCAAATACGGACGTCAATATCACTACTGTTGCTGAGGTCTTCATCTTTCGTACGGCTGCCGATGTAGATGCAGAGAATACGATGACAATTTCACATTCAGGTTGGCCATGGCCAGATAACCGCGTCAGCAGGAGCAGCGGAGTAGTGTATCGCCGCTGTGATGTCTCCTCCTTTTTTGTGGATTGGGGCAATGCCTCCGTTATGGATGATCACAGTCGCATAACCGTGGTCATCCAGAACAGATCGGGTGGCACAGAGCATCAGGGAGCTGACGTCAGCGCCGTCGAGGGGACTTGGGTTCGAATTCAGGTTTTGCCCGCCGGTGATTAAAGTGGGTTCAAGCGTAGCGGAGTTGATCGTCTCAGCCCAGTCGCTGTTGACTGCACAACAACATGTGACATTCAATTTTGAGCTGCACTCCATCTGAGGCACAAATGTATTGGTGTGACCGTCACGCGACGAACACTACCCTCTGTAGAGTGGCGGGGAGTCACGAGGATGCATCTTAGCAGTAGCGCAGCGATATCCACTTCTGTGGAGCATTCTCTAACATGGGTGCCAGTGGCGAGATGTTAACTACCTCGCCTGGTATACAGGAGGTCGTGGTATTAGTTCTAGATTTGAAGCTTTCGTGACTGCAAGGATTCACACTCTTTGGTTTTTTCGGTAAAGTCACATAGGTAAAAAATAATAAACAAAATAAATGAAAACAACTAAATTAAATCACGACGTTTTGGAGGCAACACAAGCCTCCCTCATCAGGTGTAAAAATGCAAACCTGATGAGGGAGGCTTGTGTTGCCTCCGAAACGTCGTGATTTAATTTAGTTGTTTATTTATTTTATTTTATTAATTGTTTTACCTACGTGACTTTACCGAAAAAACACAAAGAGGAGGAGATCGTGGGATCGATCCTGACCCCTGAATATTTGGAGTTTGCATGTTCTCCCCATGGTCGTGTGTGTTTTTCTCCAAGTCCTCAGGTTTTTTCCTCCACATTTAGAATCAACATCACACGCTCAGAGTATTCATATTGTTAGGTTTTTTCGGTAAAGTCACGTAGGTAAAACATTAAATTAATAAAAGTTAAATAAAATAAAAATCACGACGTTTCGGAAGCAACACAAGCTTCCGTCTTCAGGTGGAACCGTGCACAGCCCGACAGCTGTATCAAGTAAATTAGAGATTACAGGAGATACCACTCTGTATATATAATGGTTGAGGGGGGGGGGGAGGGGGGGGGGAAGGGGCAGGGATGGCCCACTTTTATTATTATGGTAAGGTGCGGTTTGAGACTATCAAATCTAGAATACACGCTCAGAGTATTTGGCTGATATACATTTCCATACGATGAGCTGCTTCGTTGAGATATCATTTGTGGCCGGGTCGCTTCTGAAAAAAAAGCTACGTAGCTCTGTGGGGCCTTACCTGGTAAAATAAAAACATGTTTAAAGTTTATTGTTTTAACATCAAGGGGGTTCCACGGCTCTGCGAGAGTTCTGAACGTACTTCACAAGACAACGCCGATTGCCCAATTTGCGATAACTTGCGGGAAAGTGTGTCCTTCGTCCACGGAGCGTTAGAGACGAAAATATTGAATTGTCCCTGACGTTCAAGGTCACTGGGATCGTATTCAGGTAAAGTTCGTAGGACAGACAAGCAGAGCTCCTCACGCCTCGATGTACACACGCTTACCCAACCCATTCGCATCATCACCGACGACAAAATCCCAATGCAATGTGGATTTATACACAGCGTCTAACTGCGACCGCATCTCAAAACGCCGTACAGAAACCCCGATATTTACTTTACAGCGAGACAGAGAGGCAAGTCAGTCATAGGCAGAGGGGACAGAGGAAGATCTTGAGCTTAGAAAGTTGCATTTTACCGCTCATTCATACAACGTCAAGATCAGAGGGGTAAAAATTGCTCAAAAGACCCAGAAATCTCTTACCTGGATCAGCTGTCGCAGGCAATGCAACAAAGGCTCGGCTCGTGCCTGAAAGTTTCGGCTAGTGGCTAAAAGTCTCGGCTAGTGGCTCAAAATTTAAGATAGTGGCTCAAAGTTTCGGCTAGTAGCTCAAAGTCTCAGCTAGTGGCTGAAAGTCTCAGCTAGTGGCTCAAAGTTTCAGCAAGTGGCTAAAAGTCTCGGCTAGTAGCTAAAAGTCTCGGCTAGTAGCTAAAAGTCTCGGCTAGTGCCTGAAAGTCTTGGCTAGTGCCTGAAAGTCTCGGCTAGTGCCTGAATGTCTCGGCTAGTGGCTCAAAATTTCAGCAAGTGGCTCAAAGTCTCGGCTAGTGGCTAAAAGTTTAAGCTAGTGGCTCAAAGACTCGGCTCATGGCTCACAGTGTTGAGTAGTGGGTCAAAGTCTCAGCTAACGGCTCAAACTTTCTGCTAGCGGGGTCAAAGTATTGCGGTGGGAGAGCTCTGGGGCTGCGACTCACGTCGGAGTTGCAGCTGTGCCGAGACCCAAGGTCGCTCCACCTCCTCTCCACCAGCTCCAGGATCTCTCTGTGGCTCTGTGGAGTACGGCAGAAAGAATTTGTACATGGGCACCGCTGTCGCCACTCCAGTGAAGCCACGCGGGCTTCGCCGAGCTCGCAAGTGAGCAGCTGCGAGGTCGTGAAGTGAGCGTCGAGATCCCGAATTGAGCCACGGGGCGAAGCGGTCTTGGCACCGATCTATGGATTAACCCATTTTTAACCCAACGTGACGGTACGGTCGCGTCCAATAACTGCGGTCGGCAGCACACCAGCAACAACACAGCGGCAGCGATTGTCACAGACAGCAAAGAACGCCGTCTGGATACGACCCCCACCCTCCCCCACCCGAGCAATTTTGTGGTGTCTGGCCCCGTCTTACATCGTGCACCCAATCGCACATTAGCACACCCACTCGCAAAGCCCCGTTGTGCCATTGAAAGCCACGTGGCGGATTAAGAGGCGCAACACTCCACCACCAACCCCCCCCCTGCACACACCCCCCCCCGCCCCCCCCACACCCCCCAACCAACCTCCGCAAGTTTTGCTTTAAAAAACACCAGGAAAATGAGACGCGTTTCATAACAATCGGGAGGATACGGTAATCGCCACGTGCATCGAAAACGCGTTTCTGTGAAGAGCAGAGGCAGCAGCCACTGGATGGGGTGGGAGTCACGGCCCCGTGAAGTAGAACGGACACCTCCTGGGCTTGGCGAGACGTTAACTGCCTCGCCTGGTACGCAGGATTCGATTTAAAGCTTTCGTGACTGCAGGGATTCATCTTCTTGGTTCTTTCGGTAAAGTCACGTAGAAGGGAAGTAATAAAATAATAAAAATAAAACATAATAAAAAATTCTCACGACGTTTCGGCCACAACGCAAGCAGCCGTCCTCAGGTGAAAACCAGGTCTGTTGAGGCGACAGCGTCACCTGAGGACGGCTGCTTGCGTTGTGGCCGAAACGTCGTGAGAATTGTATTTTATTATGTTCTATTTTTATTATTTTATTATTTTACTTCTACGTGACTTTACCGAAAGAACCAAGAAGATGAACCTCGACTTTCGTCGCTTCGCTCTTTCGGCTGTTTGCAACTATGACCACGTTTCAAATTTCGTCCACGCACTTTCCTTTTTCGTCCGATCTCATCCCAAACCTTCCACGACGTTCGCGCCACGCGCCGCATTTTTCGTTCAATCATTGAATAGAAGTCGTTCAGTGAGCATCTCTTATATAGATTCATCGTCCACTTAAGCAAGAACACAAATATTTCAAGATATCGTTTGGTAATTTATTTAGCGTTATTTATTTATTTAGTTTTTGCTTATTTATTCTTGTTTATTTTCATTTTATTTCTGTTTATTTAGGTTTCGCGTGCATGTGTTATATAGTTACTGTAGTTCTTCTTAGTTCTTTCGGCAAAGTCACGTAGAAGGGAAATAATAAAATAATAAAAATAAAACATAATAAAATACATTACTTTATTACTTCCCTTCTACGTGACTTTACCGAAAGAACCAAGAAGATGAATCCCTGCAGTCACGAAAGCTTTAAATCGAAAAGTTACTGTAGTTATTTTCACGTCCGTATTTCAACGTCCAAAATAAATGTGCGAGCTAAATAAAGGCTATGCTTTGACATTCGTCGAAGCTCTGGTCACCTGACCAGACGAAAGTGCGAGGTGTTCCTGTAGTCTTAAATAGTTTATTGTTGAGAGTGGAAAAGCAGCGCTTGAGAGTGGGGTGGGGTGGGTGTGCGGTGGCCATGTCCCTTAGGACACTCCCCGTGCGTTGCCTGTGGTTATGGGTAAACACAGCAGGTGCTTTGTGGGCGACGGATGGGATCCCAATGGGCTCAGGGGTAGGGAGGGAGAGGGGGGCCCCCCGTTGCGCACGATACGTGCGAGGCTTCTGGAGGGCAGCAGATAAGAGAGTGTGGGGTTATTTTTAAACCCTAAAGAGTGCTGGTGGTCTCTGGGGGGAGCTGTAATGGACTCGCTTCGGGACTTCGCATGCGCGAGATTTCACTTCACCGCGCTCGCGATGAGCGCGCGCGCAACCGCTCAAAATCGCGCGCTTGAGAACTGGTCGAGTACGGAAACGACGTGCGACGATATGCCGACGCTAACGCTTGTGCCTTCCCCACGCCGTGGTGTCGGTCGTAGAGGTTTGTCTGGCTGTACTTTACCGCAGCACACGGCGTTTTGTTTTTTTAGAAGATTTGCTGGGTTATTCCAGGATGTTTCTGTTGCACGTCGTCGCTTTAAGATGTTCTGTGTTCATATTTAGTTTGTTGCGGTTGCACCCGACTTAAGAGCCACATGGCTCACAGGGCTTATACCGAATAAATGAAACTTGAAATCGCACTGGTCAGCGCGAGCGATTGAAGGGAGAGGGGCCTCCCACAATCTGTTCAGGTATCACTCCCCCACTCGTGTGAGCCGTGCATGGGAATTAAACTCATGTCACTGGGTACATAGCGCAATGTTACTGATCATTACATTGCATCTCACCCACATACGCACGTACACACACGTGTATACAAATATAAACCAGCGACGACACCCGCCATTCGCCACTAAGTGGCAGTGACATCATCACGGAGCCTGTACCAGGCCAGGTGCACTTTGAGGCCACGTGAAGTGTCAAAGGCTCGCTGACAGGAGAGACACAGGCGACATGGGTTGACCGACTGAGATGACTGGCAGATGCACCAGCTGTGTCCCCCTACTGGACCAACTTGCTGGGGCAAAAGTGCTGTTCGCGATCACTCAAGACAACGATCCCCAACAAAGCCTATACCAGTCTGTTGGCGACCTAGCGAAGGGTTCAGAAATCTGTTCAGACATTTGGGCTCCGATGCTTGGCCACGAGCGGGAATCGAACTCGGGTCGCCGTGTGAGTAACGGCGCGCTAACCACTACACCGCCGCCAGCGCGCACGCAGACACGCACGCAGACACACACACACGCGTTTATCGTCCAGGGCGACAGAAGCTAAGTTGGGGCAGGGCGCATCCACTGCTGGGAGAGGACTCTCTGCACGCGCGCTTCCCCGTGCGTGTGCAAACACGTCCATGTCTGTGCAAGCGCGTCCCCGTTGCGTGCGCGTGGCGGGGGAGGTGCGAGCGAGTAATTACCGCGCCTGGCACGACGCTGCCACTTGGGAGGAGCCTCCGGGCCAGGTCCTGGAGGTCTCCCTGCACCGCCTGCAGCTGTGCTGCAAAGTCCTGCTGCTGCTGCATGTGTGCGCACAAAAAACAAGACACAAAGATACCCCCGTTATAGCCTTAACAGACTGTTGGGGCAAGTGTATTTAGCGAGCACCTATGAAGGCCGGCACGGCGCACGAAGGGGGTGGGTGGCCAGCATCACGCCCGGCCGCCTTTTTTGTCTCCGAAAGTGGAGATGTTTACACACCGCATCAGGTACTCATTTGAGGCCGAGTCAACCTAGGGGAGGACCGGGACTGGTTCAGAGAATCGTCACTGGTGTTGGCCGTGAGCGGGAATCGAACTCGGGTTACCAGGTTGGTAGCGCAGCGCGCTAGCCACTTATGCTCCCGCTCCAAAATCAAAGTAATGGGCAGACGATGATATACGTACACGCTGAACGCAGGTAAATCTCACAACGCACGCCAACACACACACACACACACATGCCACACATGCACACTACTTAGAGCCAAGCACAGCACACGTGGGGGGGGGGGAGTAGGGGTTGATTCACCGCATTGACTTCGTAAATAGTTGCTATTCAGTCGTAACTCTCCATTATCTGGGGTAACGGCCGAGAGGAGGGCTGGAACGGGATAAAATAAAAAGACGGAGAAAGCAAATCCCACGTAAATCGGGCGACGCGCATTCACTGTTCGGCTACGGAAAACTGGTGAACACGGTGGCGATGATGGACCAAGGCCAACCCACTAATCGTCACCCGACTTGGTTCGTGCCGTGTTCACCTACGTACCCGTCGTGTTCGTGTCGCGTCTCTGCGATGTTCAGCGTTGCTTGGGATGTTTCGGCGTTTTCGATGCAGTTTGCACGAATAGCGTTATATAATCTTAATTTGGAGCTTTCGTGACTGCAGGGATTACTCTTTGGTTCTTTCGGTAAAGTCACGTCTGCTTATATGTCTGATGATGATTGCTTGTGTTGCAATCGAAACGTCGTATGCTATTATTTAATTTATTATTTGATCTTCATACGTGACTTTACCGAAAGAACCAAAGAGCGTTATATAAAATAACAAGTATTGTTATTACTGCATTATTCAACGTAGGAAAGTGATTCGTACGTGATTTTTTTTTGGGGGGTCATAAACCCTCCCTCCACCCGAAACAGCCGATTAATAAAGCCATCGCCACGCGATGACCAAACGTGTCGATGTATTGCTGTGTCGCAACGCACGGTGTGTTGGCGAAGAGAAATCCACGTGCATTTCTCTCCCGCAAATGGCCTTGTTCTCATTTCCGCTTACACTGCAGCGGGCAGACATTGTCAGAAGCCAAACTCGCGGCGTGCGATAGCGTCGACACAGCGCCGGACGCCGTTAGCCATGCCAGGCGTCCTTATCCTGTCAAGACGTTAATTGTTTTAGTTTGGCGTAGTGGTTGCTAGCGAGCACCACCTGTGGCTTATATCCCACGCTCGTTCAGCCGCTGCCTGGTGGGGCCTTGTGTTCATCTCTCGCGAAGGGCGCACGCAACGTCCCGTCGCGTAGCTGCTACGCCTTTGGCAGTGACGCACAAACGGATTACTGAATCCGTCCTGTGCGGAACTTTAATGAGCGTCAGCACCTCATACGCACGGGTTTTCTCCGGCATGAATATCAACAGATTCCTTTGTCAAGGCTCCCTCCTCCTCTAACCCAGCTTAAATATACGCTGCCAAGCTTGGTGGTGCTCATTCAGACGCTGTCTTTCCGACAGCCGTGTTCTTCACCCGAGGACGGCTGCTTGCGTTGTGGCCGAAACGTCGTCAGAATTGTATTTTATTATGTTTTATGTTTATTATTTTATTCCCTTCTACGTGACTTTACCGAAAGAACCAAGAAGACTATTTCTATTTTACCAGGTAAGGCCCACCGAGCTAGAAACCTCTTTTTTCAGAAGTGACCTGGCCACAAATGATCGCTCAACGAAGTGGCTTATCTTGTGGAAATGTATCGCAGCCAACGAAAGCGTGGCTGACGGAGGAGCCTGGTGTGTGAGGATCTCAAACTCCGAGAACAAGGATTTGTAAGGACTGGTCTGATATTTTATGGAAATGATTAAGGCCGTCACACTCCTGTAAGGCAGGGATTGTCACACCGTGCGCTTGTAAAACAGCAGCAGGAGATGCTGATTTAACAGCAGCCTTAAACTTAGCGGTCGGTGCCTTGACGCTTCGCTACGAATACCTCCATTCCGATTGTCTCACGCGTGTATACGCACACGTACGTGTGCGTATACACGCGTACGTGTGTACGTGTGTGTGTGTGCGTATACACGTACGTGTGTGTGTGTGTGCGTATACACGTACGTGTGTGTGTGTGCGTGTGCACGCGAGCAGTGGGACAGCGGTTAGTGCGCTGCGCTACGAACCCGGCGACCCAAGTCCAATTCCTGCTCAAGGCCAACGTCAATGGGGATTATCTGAACTGGTCTTGGGCCTCCCCTAGGTCGACTCAGCCTCTTATGAGTACCTGGTGTGGTGTACAAACATCGCCACTGGGGATACAAACGCCGCCTCGTGCCGTTCTGGCCTTCATAGGTGCGCGCTAAAAGCACTTGGCCCAACAGTCTCTTAAGGCTACCCGGGGGATCTTTTTATTTATGTGTGCGAGCATGATGGTGGTTTTGTGCACGTTTATCTACACGATGGTGCGTGCAAGTGTTTGGGACGCACTGCGCACCTGGATTTCCAAGCACGGAGAGAACAACAGAAACTCAACATGCTCGTCAAAAAGATAAATGATACATTTAAATTGGCGACGTTTCGGGCAATGGTCCTCCCCTTTCATAGCAAAAGATGTGCTCTATAAAAATTAACCCGTAAAAACAAAGTTTTTCACTATAAATCCTTTATATGCGTGGCGGCTAGAGTCCTCTCGTCCTCTGGCTTGAGATGGCTGCCATCTATGGGTCAGATGATTGCATGCCAGCATTAATAAATTGGTAATTAAATATAATATTTTTGTCCTAAAGTGTAAAATTTTGGAAAAACATTTTCACGAACATTAATTGTCACGCACAACGAGTCTGTGTGGAAAATGTCAGCTCGATTGGATCACGGGAAGTGGGTTAAAAAACGACCGAAAGATTTGCACGGTCGTAAGCAAGCAAGCAAGCGCGCAAGTGAACTTAATATAAAGGATTTAAAAAAAAAAACGCGGCCGATAGTAGATTTTTTTTTTCTTTCAAGGTCACGTGTGTTGCTGACGAGCGTGTTGAGGTTTCTTGTTAACCGTGTTGGTGTACCCCCCACTGCCAACGAAAAATCGCTCAAAATTAACACGGATAATGACAGTGGGGAACACAGCAGGCAGACACCCAGACTTTTATAACCATCCTGCATTCTTTGAAAAGGATTAATTATCTTTCAGTTCTTTCTCTCATGCAGTGTGGACAAGGTCCCTCTCTTGGAGGCCCTTCAGCCAGCGGGGGTTGCACGAGCAAGCGATTGCAGGGCTGTAACCACCTTCGCCTGTTTCGCATGTCGTGAAATAAAATGTTTTTTTGCACGAATATAAAAAAAAAAGCCAGAAGTGCGGTTAGTATTGCTGATGTCGTTGTTGTTGTTGTTGTTTACAACCTTCGCGGCTTTGTCCTGATAAAATTTTTCCGTTGTGGACAACGCTTCGACTGCCATCCAGTTCCTCTGGCGGAGTGTCTGCGTTTAGAGAGAGAGCCGGAGTGCACAGTCACGCGTGGCTCGGGCAGAGACCGGCTTACAGAAAGGCAAACACGGGCACGCGTCAAAAAAATGAAAAACAAATTCGGCGTGGAAATTACTCGACGACACAAATTGAAGCGCGGTTTCGCTCGATGTAGCAAAGCGGAAGTGGGCGATGGAATGATAATGATGAGACAATAATTGATCAGGTAAGGGGCCCACTGAGATTGCATAGCTGTGTTTCAGAAGCGACCGTGGCTGTCACAAATGAGAGCTTAACAACGAAGCGGCGTATATCATCGTGTGGAAATTATCGCGGCCAAATACTCTGAACGCACGTTGCTGATTCGGAATGTGGATTTGTTAAAAACAGGACCCAGAAAAAAATCCACACGACCACGGGGAGAGAGGCACACAACCTCCAAATATACAGAGCAGGCGTCGGGATCGAACCTACGACCTCCTGTATACCAGGCGAGGTAATTAACATCTTGCCACCGCGGCGAAATAGGTCCTCAAACTACAGCCTGCGTTGGAGCTGCGTAACTTTCCCGACCGCCCGTTTGTAAAAGCAGTGGCAAGCCATGGAGGGGGATGGGAGGGGGGGCCCTGATAATTGCGGTCGTGGAAGGGGGGGGCGCTACTAACGGGAGGAACTCCTCCTCCACAGAGTGAACAGAGATGCACGTTGGCAGCAAGGCACGAATGGGCAGCAATGAAATATGGAAGCATGGAGGGGGGGGGGGGGAAGATTTGCAACACAGGCGATGTCACATGTACACGCGGGCAGCACAGACAAGACAAATCATAGACACCGAAATCCAGGGGTGAACCGAGTCGTCATCGGAAGGCGATTTTAATTTCAACTGCGCGAGAGTATAACGCTGCCGCAACCAGATAACTTGAGCAGCGGCGGCTTTTTTCCGCTCTCGTACAATTTCGTTGCCCCGGCCTCTCGCGTTGCTCCCTCTCCTCCTCACAGGGCAATGGGCCGGTAGTTGGCATGGACGGTGGAGTTTGCTGCTGCTGCTGCTGCTGCCGATTGCTCGCTCAGCGGCCAAGGCAACCAAATGTGTGGGAGGCTCAACTGGGAGATGGAGCAGTGAGCCGGTAGCCCCTCCCTCTTTGTCTTAGCCACGCCCATTCTACCAGGTAGCCCCTCCCTCTTTGTCTTAGCCACGCCCATTCTACCAGGTAGCCCCTCCCTCTTTGTCTTAGCCACGCCCATTCTACCAGGTAGCCCCTCCCTTTTTTACTTAGCCACACCCATTCTACCAGGTAGCCCCTCCCTCTTTTACTTAGCCACGCCCATTCTATCAGGTAGCCCCTCCCTCTTTGTCTTAGCCACGCCCATTCCATCAGGTAGCCCCTCCCTCTTTTACTTAGCCACGCCCATTCTACCAGGTAGCCCCTCCCTCTTTGTCTTAGCCACGCCCATTCTATCAGGTAGCCCCTCCCTCTTTGTCTTAGCCACGCCCATTCCATCAGGTAGCCCCTCCCTCTTTTACTTAGCCACGCCCGTTCTACCAGGTAGCCCCTCCCTCTTTGTCTTAGCCACACCCATTCTACCAGGTAGCCCCTCCCTCTTTGTCTTAGCCACGCCCATTCTACCAGGTAGCCCCTCCCTCTGTCTTAGCCACGCCCATTCTATCAGGTAGCCCCTCCCTCTTTGCCTTAGCCACACCCATTCTACCAGGTAGCCCCTCCCTCTTTGTCTTAGCCACGCCCATTCTACCAGGTAGGCCACGCCCATTATACCAGGTAGCCCCCCCCCTCTTTGTCTTAGCCACGCCCATTCTATCAGGTAGCCCCCCCCCCTCTTTGTCTTAGCCACGCCCATTCTACCAGGTAGCCCCCCCCTCTTTGTCTTAGCCACGCCCATTCTATCAGGGAGCCCCTCCCTCTTTGTCTTAGCCACGCCCATTCTATCAGGTAGCCCCTCCCTCTTTGTCATAGCCACGCCCATTCTACCAGGTAGCCCCTCCCTCTTTGTCTTAGCCACGCCCATTCTACCAGGTAGCCCCTCCCTCTTTGTCTTAGCCACGCCCATTCTACCAGGTAGCCCCTCCCTCTGTCTTAGCCACGCCCATTCATCTTCTTGGTTCTTTCGGTAAAGTCACGTAGAATGGAAGTAATAAAATAATAAAAATAAAACATAATAAAATAATTCTCACGACGTTTCGGCCACAATGAAATTGTTTTATTTTATTATCAGGTGAAGACCAGGTCTGTCGGGGAGACAGACCTTGGTCTTCACCTGAGGACGGCTGCTTGCGTTGTGGCCGAAACGTCGTGAGAATTTTATGAAATAGTTTTATTTTATTATTTCCCTTCTACGTGACTTTACCGAAAGAACCAAGAAGATGAATCCCTGCAGTCACGAAAGCTTCAAATCTTAGCGACGCCCATTCTATCAGGTAGCTCCGCCCACTGCTCGTGTTTCCCCGCCCACCGCCCAGGTCACTTTGCCATTTGCCCGCATCGTGAACAGAGCACGAAGCGGGCAAATGGGGGTGGGGGGAAGGGGTTACACACACGGGGACACGTTCGGCGGCTTTAGAGAGATATCCGCAATGTCCCCAAGCGCTTAACGCCAACCGCGTACGCGCGAACGTTCCGCTTGACGTACGTCGTTTTTCTGCCGCTGCTTATCCAGGTCGCTCTGCAGCGCGGCCGTCTGCTCCTGCAGGGCCTGGCGCTCCTCCAGCCTGCACGTGCCACACGAAGGTAGTGAGAAAGACAAAGATCCCCCCCCCCCCCCGTATAGCCCGGACAGCCTGTTGGGGCAAGTGCTGTTAGCGAGCGCCTATCAAGGCAGCCATGGCACACGAGGGGGTGGGTGGCCAACATCACGCCCGGCCGCCTTTGTCTCCCCAGTGGCGATGTTTACACACAGCACCAGGTACTCATTTCAGGCCGAGTCAACCTAGGGGATGCCCATGACCGATTCAGATAATCGTCACCGGTGTTGGCCGTGAGCGGGAATCGAACTTGGATTCAAGTTCAAGTTCATGTATTAGGTATAACCCTGCGAGCCATTCGGCTCTTGAATCGGGTGCAACCGCAACAAACAAAAATCAAAAACATGAACAAAAAAGCATGAACAAAAAAGCCGGGTTCGTAGCGCAGTGCGCTAACCGCTACACTACCCCCCTCCCCCCCCAGCCGTGTGGTCTACACAGGCCGTTGAGGCAACTGCTGTTTCGCGAGGACCTTTGCAGTCCACGACAGCACATGGGGCGGGGGGCAGAGGTCGCAAACGGGTTTTGATTCCCTACCCATACCCGGCCGCACCAGGGTCGCAAGCGGGTACCCGTACCCGGCTGGGTACGGGTAGCCGTTCCCTACCCGTACCCTACCCGAAATGAGTGACAAACGGCTACTCACCAGTGACTCACGGCCTACCCGTACCCGGCCGCACCAGGGTCGCAAACGGGTAGCCGGGTATCGGGTAGGGTACGGGTATCGGGTACCCGGTTGTGACCTCTGGCGAGGGGTGGCCATAACCACATGCAGCCACCTTTTCCCGCATCTCCGATTGGCACGACTTTGCTACGCACCGTGCGAAAGAAGTTCAAGCTCAACATCCATACGTCGTCTCCCCGGTGCCGGTGTTTACGCACCATGACGGGTTACTCACTTAAGGGCCGAGTCGATTTAGGGGAGAGGCCCAGGACAAGCTCTGATATTAATTCTAGATTTGAAGCTTTCGTGACTGCAAGGATTCACACTCGTAGTTTTTTCGGTAAAGTCACGTAGGTAAAAAATGAAACTATAATTAATAAAAATAAAAGAATAAAATCACGGAAGCTTGTGTTGCCTCCAAAACGTCGTGATTTTATTCTTTTATTTTTATTAATTTTTATTTCATTTTTTACCTACGTGACTTTACCGAAACAACTAAGAGTACAAGCTCTGATATTGTTCTCCGCGGATGTTAGCCGTGGCCGAGAATCGAGGCGTTGGGTTTGACTTGCTGCTTAATACATCAGCAGGCCACAGAGAGTAGTGTTCATCACAATGTATGCATATTGAACTTCTTTCACACTGTACATATAATTCTAATCAGAGGTGTGGGAAGGATAACAAACTAAGCACAAAAGGTAGTATAAATTTCGATTTAAAGCTTTCGTGACTGCAGGGATTCATCTTCTTGGTTCTTTCGGTAAAGTCACGTAGAAGGGAAGTAATAAAATAATAAAAATAAAACATAATCAAATAATTCTCACGACGTTTCGGCCACAACGCAAGCAGCCGTCCTCAGGTGAAGACCCCCGACAGACATGTTCTTCACCTGAGGACGGCTGCTTGCGTTGTGGCCGAAACGTCGTGAGAATTATTTTATTATGTTTTATTTTTATTATTTTATTACGTCCCTTCTACGTGACTTTACCGAAAGAACCAAGAAGACAAAAGGCAGTTTTAAAGTAATGTGTTTTCAATCTCGATGATTTCAAAATGTAAAGCTCCAGTGGCTTCCGAATATCGGAAGGAAGAGCGTTCGAGATGCTCACAGTAGCGCATCCGAAAGCGAGCGCAATGCGGCGGCGATTGTCTTTTTGTTGGCTCGCAAAAATCCGCTGCGAGAAAGTCCGGAGTTTGCGTGAGGTTCCTTGCAAGATTGAAATACCGGTATACTTAAATCTCACAGCAGGATCTCGGTTAATTTTATTGTGAAAGAGACTTGTTTTTTCTTGTGAGCCGGCTGAGACCATCATCAACTCATTCCACTTGAAAAGCCAAGTTCATCATAACGGGAGGGCGCGGCTGGGCTGGATTCGAACCCACAATTTAGTTTAGCGGTGCCAGGTGAGAGCTCTGGCCGCTCAGCCACCTGGACCAGTTCCGCACTCGGGACAGAAATAGAAAACTGATAATACAATTAACGAGAACGATAATCCGATAATGCAATTAACTCGAACGGTAATCCAAAAACAACTCACAATTTCTGCTGCTTGCCGATCTCTTCATGCGCCCCATCTCCCTGTCGATATAAATGAATAAAAAATTGGTTAATATTATGCGTGTTTTTGTGGTCGTATTCGCGCATCCTTTGGCACGACGTTCCGACTTTTCCAATCGGCCCTTCTCAATCGCGGACGGTTGCACTGCTCTGCCAAGAAGCTCCCAGCGCGTGGAGCGAAACGTCGGACACCGTGCCGAACGACAAACTCTCGGTACGACCCGATAACGCGTTCGGCGAGCGACGCGTCACAACCGCGACGTCCTACGCAGCCGCTGGGACGCGGCGTTTCGACAGCAAGATGACCGAGTGACCGCACGGCTGTGCCGGGCCTTGCCTGTTTCGCCGCCGCCACGCGCTCCTCAAGCCGGGCCAGCTGCGTCTCAAACTCCGCCCGCATCGCCTCCTTCTCGCGCACGGCAGCCTGCGGGGAAAACAACCCGGTCGCACGTTAGCCACGAGTTCTTTAGTTTTTATATTTAGACGTTCAACCTTCGGCAGCTTTGGAAGAAGAACTCCGACGTTCCGAGCGGCGAGCCACCAGACCTAAACCAAAAGGAAACTAGTTTTTATTTGAGCAGGTAAGCGATCGATGTTTTTCTGACCATCATCACCTAGCCAGTGAACTGGAACACGTACACCAAGCTCTCAAGATGAATGGATATTCAGACTACACAATCTGAAAAGCTATCACCCCAACCAGTAAGAAAGGACTATCTGAGAACCCAATACAAACCATCACCTTGCCATACATAGCAGGGGTCACCAAAGAGATTTCCAAAATCATGAACAAACACACCAGATCCAGGTTCGATTTAACACAGTACGTAAAATTCGTGATCCGATCCCATCTGTGAAGGATATGACCCCTGACATGCAATACCCCGGCGTCTACAAACCAAGCTGTGTCTGCGGCAGTAGTTACATTGGGGAAACTAAGCGGCATGTCTCGGACCGTGTTCGTGAACACAAGGCAGATCTGAAACACGGTAGGACGAATACCTCGGCCGTGACTGATCGTTGTTTTAATGCGGTGGGCTCACACGAAATTGATTTCTCTAAGACAAAGGTACTTTGCAAACCCACTGGCTATCAACAAAGATTCGTTCATGAAGCCATCCATATATATAGACAGACACAATTTCAACCGAGAAGATGGGTACAAATTGAGCAATCATTGGAAGGACGTTGTCAACCAGTTTAAGTCATAACTGGCTGTGATGTTCCCAGCCTATCACCTTCCGATGTTAGTTGTGATTTTCGGCTCCGATTTTTTACATTAACAGATACAATTCCTCACTAACACAGCGACCTCGCGCGCCATCCTCAAGGCTGCTGCTTCACGATCTCCCATTAACATGCTCATCTCTCACATCAACATGCTAATCTCTCACATTAACACACTCATCTCTCACATTAACATGCTAATCTCTCACATTAACACGCTAATCTCTCACATTAACACGCTAATCTCTCACATTAACATGCTAATCTCTCACATTAACACGCTCATCTCTCACATTAACATGCTAATCTCTCACATTAACATGCTAATCTCTCACATTAACACGCTAATCTCTCACATTAACATGCTAATCTCTCACATTAACACGCTAATCTCTCACATTAACATGCTCATCTCACATTAACACGCTCATCTCTCACATTAACACGCTCATCTCTCACATTAACACGCTCATCTCTCACATTAACACGCTCATCTCTCACATTAACACGCTAATCTCTCACATTAACATGCTCATCTCTCACATTAACATGCTCATCTCTCACATTAACACGCTCATCTCTCGCATTAACACGCTAATCTCTCGCATTAACATGCTCACCTCTCACATTAACACGCACATCTCTCACATTAACACGCTCATCTCTCACATTAATATGCTAATCTGTCACATTAACATAGCAACCTTGACACACTCGCCGTGGAGTTTGCTAGGCGATCTTACATTGACATGCTAATCTTTTCCTGGCAGCCCTGTGATTGGTGGAAAGCCCACCACCGCCACGGTCGCTGCCCAACACTTGCATTGGCTGCTGACATTTGGGCTACGCCAATTTCAAACCTTGATAAGCAGTTGTGTCTTGAAAAGCTAACCCCCCTTTTCCTGATGACGACCGCTTGTGTTGCGATCGAAATATCGTGGTGTTTTGTTATTTTATTTGAACCTATTAATGTGACTTAACCGAAAGACCCAAAGAATAAAGGTAAAACCCCATCGAGCTATATAGCTCTTTTTCAGAAGTGACCTGGCCACAAATGATAGCTCAACGAAGTGGCTTATCACGTGGGAATTTACAGCTGCCAAATACTCTAAACGCACGTCTATAAATGTGGAGGGGAAAACCGGAGTAACCGGACAAAATCCACGCGACCACGGGGAGAACATGTAAACTCCAAATATACAACGGACGTTAGAGTCGAGATCGAACCCACGACCTCCTGCATACCAGGCGAGTTAGTTAACATCTCCTAGCCACCGTGGTGATGATGATGAGAGAGAGACACCGCAATCTGCAAATATACAGCAGCAGGCGTCAGGGTCGGGATCGAACCCACGACCTCCTGTATACCAGGCGAGGGAGTTAACATCTCCTAGCCACCGTGATGATGATGATGAGAGAGAGACACCACAATCTGCAAATATACAGCAGCAGGCGGTCAGGGTCGGGATCGAACCCACGACCTCCTGTATACCAGGCGAGGGAGTTAACATCTCCTAGCCACCGTGGTGATGATGATGAGAGAGAGACACCACAATCTGCAAATATACAGCAGCAGGCGTCAGGGTCGGGATCGAACCCATGACCTCCTGCATACCAGGCGAGGTAGTTAACATCTCGCCAATCGCGGTGCCCACCGACCTGCGCGGCGTCGCTCCTCTTGACCTTCTCCGCCTCTTCCAGGAGACGGATCTTCTCGCTCAGCACGACGTTCTGCTGGCAGGCCTCACTCAGGGCATCCTGCAGGCCTCCGACTTGGCCTGCAGCGCACAGAGCCACACGCGTCACCACCAACGCCGGGCAAATGTCGCCAAACGCCGGGTGCAACATGCAGCGGGGGACGTCGCCTCTCTCCTATGGAAACCCCCCGCCACCCGCCTGTGCATTTGGAATTCACTCCTCCTATCTCGCCATCTCGACCATTGCACACCAGACGTGCGTGTGGTGTTCGACACCATTAGCACGGTTGGCTATTACGGTGCGAAAGAAATTCAACATACGTACGATGTCCGACTTTAAGGGTCGGGATCGAACCCACGGGGATCTTTTTCTCACGGTACAACTAGAAAACACATCGGACACCTACACGGCAGAACCGTGGAAACCTAGCTCGGTGTCCGCCAACGTGGAAATCGCGAGCGAGTTAAAACTCCAACCTCATCGGAATCCGCCGTGAACAAACAAAACAAAAACCCCCCCACCACCACCTTGCAGCTCGCCTCGCAGCGCCGCGGCCGTCTTGAGCCCGTCGGCCTCGACGGTGGCCGCCTGCAGCTGCGCCTCCAGCTCCCGCACGCGACCCCCCGCCGCTCCCAACTCCGCCCGGAGCTCCTCGGCGGAGATCGCCGCCTGCCGCTCTCGCTCCTCCGCGGCCGCCGCCGCCTCCTCCTCCAGCCGCCGCTGGCGCCGCTCGGCCTCGCCCGCCCGAGCGTTCCACCGCTGGGCCTCCTCCGCCGCGGCCGCCGCGTCGCGCTGCAGGCGGCGCGAGCGCTCGCGCTCCGCCAGCAGCTCGTCGCGCTGCGCTCGGAGAGCATCGGGGGCCAGGCCCAGGGACGAGAAGTCGCGCAGTCGCGACTCGGCCGCCTCCACGAGCGAGCGGGTCTGAGACAGCTCCGACTGGTGGCGGGAGGGGAGGGGCGGAGAGCGAGGAGGAAGGAGGGGGAGCGAGGATGAGAGAGGGAGCCAGGAAAGAGAGAGTGAGGATGAGAGAGAGTGAGCGAGGAGAGAGAGTGAGAGAGTGTGGATGAGAGAGGGAGCGATGAAGGAGAGGGAGCGATGAAGGAAAGTGAGAGCGATGAAAGAGAGAGCGAGCGAGGAGAGAGAGAGAGAGTGAGGATGAGAGAGAGGATGAGAGAGGGAGCGAGGAGAGAGAGAGAGGGAGCGATGAAGGAGAGGGAGCGAGGGATTCTTTATGGCAGATTCACATTGCTCAGCTTGACATGCCATGAATTCGCTCGGCCATATGGCAGCCAATCAATGGAAGCCAGCTATCAGCTGGTGTACACGGCGAGTCATTAAGAGATGCAAAACTTTCGATTTTAAATAGCGGCTGCCGGGCACAGGCCCGAAGACCCAACAAAACACCTTCCCCCCTCTTCCCCGGACCCAACCCCGACACCCGAGGCACGAGAACGCGGGCACAAGGGGACGCGAGCCACCTCGGAGCGCGAGCCACCTCGGAGCGCGAGCGGGGCTCACCTTGAGCGAGCTGACGCGCGAGGCCTGCGCCTCCAGCGCCTCCTTCTCGCGACGGATGTCGGCCACCTCGCTCTTGAGGCTCTCGAGTTCAGAGGTCATGTCGTCCAGCAGCTGGGTGCGCTGACCCATGATGCCAATCTCCGCCTGGCCCACGCACAAACGCACGCACGCACACGCGCGTGTAAGCACACAATAAGTACAACCCGTAAAAACAAAGTTTTTCACTCTAAATCCTTTATATGTGTGGCGGCTAGAGTCCTCTCGTCCTCTGGCTTGAGATGGCTGCCACCTATGGGTCAGATGATTGTCTGCCAGTATTAAACAATTGGTAATTAAATATTTAATTTGTTTTCCCTAAACAGTGTAAAATTTTGGAATTTTTTTTTTCACGAACATTAATTGTCTCGCACAACGAGTCACGGGAAGTGGGTTAAAAAACGACCGAAAGGTTTGCACGGTCGTAAGCAAGCAAGCAAGCACGCAAGCAAGCGAACTTAATATAAAGGATTTAAAAACACATACAACCGTAGACGCAGCAGAGACAAAGGTCCTGCCCCCACCCCATGGAGATTTAACGAGCAGTTGGGAGCACTTATTAAAAACCGGCATGGCACATAAGGGGGTAAGGGGGAGGGTGGTCAGCACCACACCGGGAGTGACCGTTGTCTCCCCATTGCTGACGTTTTATCCACACCGCACCAGGTACTCATTTAAGGCAGAGTTGACCTACAGGAGGGCCCAGGATCGGTTCATATATTCTTGGCACCAAGACAAAATGTCCATTCAGATCTCTTGCGCAGCAGTGCAAACCTTTATGACACAAGGGCCTACAGAAGTGTACATCACAGAACTACCTCAGGGATGCCATGAAGTGAGCTCTAATCGACTTTCCGACCGACCCTGCTACAGAAAGACATGTTTGTTACAAAAAATGTAAAAATTATATTTTTTATTTATTTGCAATTTCAGCCGAAGGTGCATAACCAAAATGAATGCGTTGTTTTTTTTGTGCAGTGGTTGGTAACTTGGGCCAAGCCCATCAGCTCGTTACACTTGAGAACCTGGTTTAACCGGGCTATGCGAGTCTATATACATATATAAAAGGGAAATCTGTGAATATGTGTCTGTTCAAAATGTTTAGCAAACTTCCCAACATGCAACAAACTTGAAATTTGGCATGTGGGCACAATGCAAAAAGTATAAAAATAGACTCTTGAGATTTGGGGGGGGGGGCACGCAATAATGGATATAATATTTTGCATGGCAAATGATCGGTGACGTCACATCTGTGATGTCACCCGCATGCAGCGGCGTCACGCAGTGTGCCTGCTGACGTCACGCATCCCCCCCACCCTCCGCGTAGGCCGTGTATTAATCCAAGACAAGAATCAAGTCCCGGGCGAAGCCGGCTAGTAAAGCGAGTCAGTCTATATGCGAGTCTATCCGTCTCGATGCGAATCATAGGTTGTCTACGATAGGTGTAAAAGAGGAAGTTCAACATAAATTACATTAGTGAGAATTATTTTATTATGTTTTATTTGTATTATTATGTTTTATTTTTATTATTTTATTACTTCCCTTCTACGTGACTTTACCGAAACAACCAAGAAGATGAATCCCTGCAGTCACGAAAGCTTTAAATCGCAAAAAAAAATTTACATTCATTAAATGACAGGCAGTGGCTGAAACCCGAACTCAAACCCAGGATTCTCAGCAGTGTCGTCTGACCTCCGAACCACCCGTCCGACCTCCTGTCCGACGATTTCTACAAATTACCCACAAGCCACCGGAAACACACCACGGTACGGCGTCGGCACGAGGCCTGCTAACCGCGCGCGCGCCTTCGCCGCCGGTCATGAGCGGGCAGGCGGGCGCGTCAAGAGAGCTGATTCCACCCACCTTCAGGCACTCCATCTCGGAGATTTTGTTCTCCAGCATCGAGTTGTGAGTCCGCAGATCGGCCAGGTCGGCCTTGAGGCTGTCTCGCTCCAAACACAGCTCCTCCACGATGGCGTCCTGGCTCCGTGGAGACGGAGAGAGGGAGAGAGAAAGACAGCGGTTACGTTACGCACGCGCGGTGACGACAGGCACGCCCTGCGACATTGAGCAGCCACATGAACGGGCATCTTGTGCGGCCCGTGCACCTGATATGCCGGTGACCAACGCATCTGTAACATCAGTGGCCCATGTACCTGAACGCCGCATGACCTATGCACCCAAGTGAATAGTGGCCAATATACACGAGCTCCAGGATTGCCACTGCACCACAGTGGCCCGTATCTCTATACCGCATTGGCCCATAAATGGCCCATGCCCCTACATCAGTGTTGAGTGCTCCTAAACCACAGCGGCCCATGCTCCTACACCACAATGGCCCATGTTCCTAACACCAGCGGCTCATGTCCCTACACCAACAGTGGCCCATGTCCGTACACCAACAGTGGCCCATGCTTATACACCACAGTGGCCCATGTCCCTAGACCAAAATGGCCCATGTACCAAACATCAGTGGCCCATGCCCCTTCAACACAGTGGCGGCCCATGTCCCTACACTATAGTGGCTTATTTATCTACACCACAGAGGCCCATGTACCTAACACCAGTGGCCCATGCCCCTAAACAGTGGCCCATGCCCCGAAACAATAGTGGCCCATGTATTTATACCACAGAGGCCCATGTACCTAACACCAGTGGCTTATTTATCTACACCAGTGGAACCATGAGCCTACACCACAGTGACACGTGTCTCTAGACCAAAGTAGCCCAAGTCTCTAGACCACAGTGTCCCATGTCTCTCCACCAGTGGCCCACCCCCACACCCCAGCAGCCCACGTCTAAAGCCCATATCCCTAGTGGCCCGTGACCCTTCACCAGACCCACACCACGGCCGCACCGAGTTGTGTGACGGCACCGCGGAGGCCGCCTCCATCTCGGAGAGCCGCATCTGCCACAGCGCCTTCTGCATCTCGGCCTGGCTCAGCGCCGAGCGCAGCTCCCCGCGCTCGCGCTCCAGCTCCCCCGCGCGCCCGCGCTCGCCCTCGCACACCGCCTGCACCTCCGCCAGCTGGCCTGGTGGTGGGGAGTGTGGGGGGGGTCGTTCAGATTAAAGCGGAGCTCGATGGGACACGACGAGACACGGAGGGGGGGTTACATGACAAGCAACGTGAACAGCGGGACTCGACGCTGGGCACTGCGAGGAGTGGGACTTCAATGACAAGCTGCGGGACTCGATGAGAATCAGCGGGATTTAGCGAGCGGCAGTGGGGATGAACGACGCTGCTGTGACCCGCGACCCCAAATGTATTCGGCAAAACAAGGCATCATTCACAGAGGGGAGGCACATTTCTCCCAGTGAAATAACATTCATCTTCAGTTGCGTCAGCACTAGCGCGCTACTCCTCGCACCGATGCCTTGACGGGAGAAGGCGAGTTGTAACGCCGCGGTGAGAAACTCCGCTCGCGACGCACACACCACGGCGGGGGCTTGTTGCTGGGGTGGATGGGGGGTGGATGGGGGGGGTGGATGGGGGGGGTGGACGGGGGGTGGACGGGGGGTGGACGGGGGGTAGACGGGGGGTAGACGGGGGGTGGACGGTGGGGAGTTGCATGGGAGGGGGTTAGGGCGGCTGGCTCAGGCAACGCTCAAATCCCTGTCGGTGTATATCGAAGGTTTTGGCTTCGCTGCAATTTGTACAATCCTCGCTCGCCGACGTGGTGCCGTTAAACATCCTTCTGGCCAACACCCCTTCCATCTTCGGGGGAACGATACGGCAAGGGGGCCGAGGACACGGGGCCAACTCGAGCGCCCCCGGAGGCGCGGACGGGAACGGAACGCGGGCGCCCGCTAACGCCCACGGAGAGACCAGAGGTCGCAACCGGGTACCCGATACCCGTACCCTACCCGATACCCAGCTACCCGTACCCGGCCAGGTATGGGTACGGGTACCCGTTTGCGACCCTGGTGCGGCCGGGTACGGGTACGGGTAGGCCGTGAGTCACTGGTGAGTAACCGTTTGTCACTCATTTCGGGTAGGAAACGGGTACCCGTACCCGGCTGGGTACGGGTACGGGTACGGGTACTCGTTTGCGACCCTGGTGCGGCCGGGTACGGGTAAGGAATCAAAACCCGTTTGCGACCTCTGGGAGAGACCCTTACTCTTGTAGGCCTCGTCCATGGCCACGAGGCGGACGTTGGACTGATCGAGGAGCGAGTGGCTGTCCCCGAGTTGCGCAACCAGAGACTCGGACTCGGTCGTGCGGCCAGCGAGCTGGGACATCACCGACTTCAGCTCCGACTGCAGGTCTGGTGGAGGTGGGGGGGGGGGGGGGGGGGAGGGGGTCACCATGATCACAAGCACAAGTGTGGACACGATATTAACACGACGACATATAATATTCCAAGTACAATCAATTAAAATACATTCCTCACTATTTATATTTTCGTACGTCATCAGTTTTTCTTCCGATTCCGTTCCGGTTACGTACGTTCACGTCACCGGAACGGAAACTTAAGCAAAAAGCCGCGCGGGAGGGCGTCTGGCACAGTTTGCCGCCAGCTATTGTGGCGTGCCGATCGTGACGCTACGGTTCGCTGCGGTGATTTCAGTCCAATGTCTTTTTAAAAAACTCCGAACCACTTCGCGCGTTCCGAGATTCAGAGGTTAACGGGACCCCACCCTGCAACTTGCAGACGTCTTGGAACAGGAAATGGTTACGTGACCGCTTAAAATTAATTTCCGTGTTAAGCAAGGGCAGATCAGGCCAGTGAGCCAGTTGGACAGGTGGCCAGATGAGGCAGTCCTGGAATCGAGCCCTCGCACCCTCACAGCAGGGCTTGGATCGTTCGTCAGAGGGTGACTGTCGAGACATGAAATTGGCTCAATCAATATGAAATGGCTCAAGGGGTTAAACGCACAGTTAGCCAATGGGCCAGACTAGCCTGGGTGTTATAAGCGGTTTGGAGAATCGAGCATGGCCTCATGTCACCCCAATGGGCATCACACCTTTTTTTTGTTATCGCAGTTGCTAAGGTCCTAAGGCCCACGGCGCAAAGCAGTAGCAAGAGAATTGGGAGCTCGGGTTAGGCTGGTAGGGTTAGGCTGGTAGGGTTAGGCTGGTAGGGTTAAGCTAGTAGGGTTAGGGTCATATATATTAATGCAATATATATTAACATATTTCCATATTCAAAGTACAATCAATTAAATTACGTTCCTTATTCCTCACCATTTACATTCAATGGTACGTTAGTTATAAGGTCGGGGGATACCCAGCGCACTACGGACATCCTGTACACACGGAGCAATGTTACCAGATCATTCAAAATACCTCTACGCCAATAAATGTGCCCGCTCTATTCTGGCCAGCGTCTTGCGGTGCCCATCGCAACCCAGACACTCCACGAATGCCAATGCAAGGTCGCGTCCCATCTCAACGATTCACAACCGGCTGGGAATGGCACTCGCGCAAAGCAGGGCCTGGTGTCGTTTCGCCGGTCCCACCCTCGGAAAGGGAGCCGGTTAACCGCACGGCCGTGGCGACGCGACATCAGTCGGAAGGCGGTGGGGGTGGGGGTGGGTGGGCAGGGGCCGTGGACGCACCGAGGCAGCGCTGCTTGGTGGAGTGCAGCTCTGAGCCGGTCTGCTCCCATGCGACCATGATGCTCCCGCTGTGCGACTTGTTGGCCCGCAGCTCCTCGGTCGCCTCAGTCAGCTGCCTCTGCAGGGCCGACTCCACCTCCTTGTGGCGGCCCTGTGCGCTCGGAATAACAGGTGGGGAGGGGTCGGCGGGGCACGGGTGGCGGTGGTCAGAGGTCGCAACCGGGTAACCGATACCCGTACCCTACCCGATACCCGGCTACCTGTACCCGGCCGGGTATGGGTACGGGTACCCGTTTGCGAGCCTGGTGCAGCCGGGTACGGGTAGGCCGTGAGTCACTGGCGAGTAACCGTTTGTCACTCATTTCGGGTAGGGTACGGGTACGGGTAGGGAACGGCTACCCGTACCCGGCCGAGTACGGGTAGCCATTTGCAACCCTGGTCCGGCCGGGTACGGGTAAGGAATCAAAACCCGTTTGCGACCTCTGGCGGTGGTACGCCAAATTCATCAAGAAGGCGGAGATGTAATGGGGACAGGCTATACAGTAAAACCTTGGATTGCGAGTAAACTTGGTCTGCGAGTGTTTTGCAAGACGAGCAAACATTTTAAATAAATATTAATTTGACAAACGAGCGAGGTCTTGCAATACGAGTAGTACGTGTGTACGCTTTGTCTGCCGAGCGTCACGTGATCACAACTGATATACGAGTGCTTTGGATTACAAACACGTCTCCGGAACGAATTATGCTCGCAATCCAAGGTTTTACTGTATAGAGATAAGAAGTCCGTAGACTCACAAAGAGACTCGTAGACTCGCACAGACATTGAAGGGGCCGTGGGAGTTGCCACCTGTGCAGGGAAAAAAGGAGGTAGAGGGAGACTGAGGGTGGGAGGGTAGAGGAGAGTTGGACAAGGTGAAGGGGAGTAGCCGGGAGGTAGGTGGCAGAGGTCGCAACCGGGTACCAGATACCAGTGCCCTACCCGATACCCGGCTACCCGTACCCGGCCGGGTACAGGTACCCGTTTGCGACCCTGGTGCGGCCGGGTACGGGTAGGCCGTGAGTCACTCGTGAGTAACTGTTTGTCACTCATTTCCCAACGTCTTGTCTCTTATCACAATTCAAGTTCCTAGAATCAACCCACCCGCGCCTGCAACATGGCTTCATCCCAGAGGTTGCAATCAGGTACCCGATACCCGGCCGGGTACGGGTAGGGCCGGGTACGGGTACCCGTTTGCGACCCTGGTGCGGTCGGGTACGGGTACGGGTAAGGAATCAAAACCCGTTTGCGACCTCTGGTAGATGGTAGGGTAGACGGGTGTGGTAGATGGGGGGAGTTGACGGGAGAGGGGGGGGGGGAAGGAGTAGGGGTGGGGAGGTGGGAGGAGGAGGAGGAGGGGGTGGCCGTGAGATGATGTAAGTGGTGCCACTGCCCTCACCTGCATCTGCTCGAGTCCGGACAGAGAGCCACGCAGCGACTCATTCTCAGCCTCCAGGGCCATCATTTTGGAGTTCTTCTCCGACATCTCCGTCATGAACCGCCGGCACTCCTTGTGAAGTCGAGCCATCTCCGCTGCTTGCCTGAACGCACGCACGCAAAGACAAAGATCCCCCGTATAGCCTTAACGGACTGCTGGGACAAGTGCTGTTAGCGAGCACCAATGAAAGCCAGCACGGCGCACGAGAGGGTGGGTGAGCCAGCATCACCACACCCGTCCGCCTTTGTCTCCTCAATGCCGTTGTTTACAGACTGCTCATTTAAGGCCGAGTTTACCTAGGGGAGGCCCAGGACCGGTTAAGATATTCATCAGCAATGCTGGCTGTGAGCAGGAACCGAACTCGGATCACCGGGTTTGTAGTGCAATACATTACCCACTGCACTCCTGCTGCCCACAAAGATCCCCCCCCCCCGTTATAGAATCCGAATCTTTATTTTAAACTGCAGGAGGAATCCGATGAGCAATGAAGCTCTTTGTCACAGATGTCCAGCATGGGCAGCTCAGCAGACGCGCACACACAGATACGCACACAGAGACACGCACACACACACACACAGAGACACGCACACACACACACACAGAGACACGCACACACACACACACACACAGACACGCACACACACACACACACAGAGACACGCACACACACACACACACAGAGACACGCACACACACACACACACAGAGACACGCACACACACACACACACACAGACACGCACACACACACACACAGACACGCACACACACACACACAGAGACACGCACACACACACACACACAGAGACACGCACACACACAGAGACACACGCACACACAGAGACACGCACACACACAGACTATTGCAGCACGGCAACAGTTGGCCAGGCGTGCCAGGGTGACGGTCCAAATTTGTCAAATTAGAAAATTAGTCACAAATTACCTAATTGACAAACACATCGCGATCGTCGACCCCCCCCCACGACTTCGATAGCTTAGCAGGGCCCTCCTGACACGGAGTCTTCAGACTCGGCAAGGCTTTCCTGGTTAAACAAATGTAATAATCTTAATAATTGGCGTTAGCTAGCACCCTATTAAGCACCAATTTTCTCCCGCGCGGCGTAATAATGGACCAGCAGCACCCTGGGCCTTGCAATCCAGAGGTCACCGGCTCCATGTGCCAGTACGGCAGTTGTAATAATGGGACAAGTTTCTAGGTCTTCATCTTCTTGGTTCTTTCGGTAAAGTCAAGTAGAATGGAAATAATAAAATAATAAAAATAACACATAATAAAATAATTTGAGGAGACTTCAGACTCCTCCACGGACCTGTTCTCCACCTGAAGACGGCTGCTTGCGTTGTGGCCGAAACGTCGTGAAAATGATTAAATGTTTAATTATTTTATTATTTCCATTCTACTTGACTTTACCGAAAGAACCAAGAAGATGAATCCCTGCCGTCACGAAAGCTTTAAATTGAAATTTAAGTTTCTAGGTCACTTCTGAACAATAAGTGAATACCTCAGTGGGCTTTGCCTGGTAAGATGGGGATGGTTTAGTTGTATTTGTAGGTGTTTGGGTGATTTGTTTACCTTTCTTGTACTTTACACTACTATCGTGTTGTTGTACTGTGTTTGTTGTGGTAATGTTCTTAACCCGTGCCCCTCAACTGGACACCTGTGAAAAAGCTTAATAGCTCATCGGATTCTTCCAGAATAAATAAATATTCTGAAACCGCACCCCTCCCCCATCCGCCGTCTGCCCCCTGCCTGCCACCGTCCACCCATCAGCATAAATTGCTCCACCACAGCGAGTCGATCAGCAGGTAACGTGTGGTGGAGTAAAGTGTGGGCCGTCCCACCATTTCCAAAACATCTGCCTAGCATGGAAGAGGAGGTCAAATACCTTCTAGAGGGGAGAGGGCTCTCTGGACCAGAGCTCCCTCTACTGCCGATGATGCTCTTCCACCAGCAGTGGTGAGCTAATACATTGGAGGGCTGCTCCTTTACCTTCTAACTTGGACTGGTTTTTTTTAAATAAAAAATACATTAAACCCACTGGCAAGTCAAGAGGCACGAGCGTGTGTGCGTCTGCCAAGCCTCAATTGGTATTGAAAACGGCAGGTTGAGTCACGTACGGACGTGCACGCAAGCCTGCCGAAACCGCAGTGCACCAGACGTAGCAGACTCCACGGCCGCCACTCTCCACCCCTGCGCCAGGTTGTGTTTTTTGTGTGTTTTTGCCCTCGAGCGGAACGTCTGGGGCTTCCCGAGAGTAACGCGTCTGGGTTTAAAAAAAAATCCTTTATATTAAGTTCACTTGCTTGCTTGCGTGCTTACGACCGTGCAAATCTTTCGGTCGTTTTTTAACCCACTTCCCGTGATCCAATCGAGCTGACATTTTGCACACAGACTCGTTGTGCGTGACAATTGATTTTCGTGAAAAAAAATTCCAAAATGTTACACTTTTTAGGAATTTTTTTTTTATATTTAATTACCAATTGCTTAATGGTGGCAGGCAATCATCTGACCCATAGGTGGCAACCATCTCAAGCCAGAGGACGAGAGGACTCTAGCCGCCACGCATATAAAGGATTTATAGTGAAAAACTTTGTTTTTACGAGTTAATTTTTTCCTCTCTCAATCTTACACATTTTTTTTTTTGCAACAGGGTGGATGGAAACGGACAGGGCCGTGTCACGAGCAAAACAGCTGACGAGAGACGGAGTTAACTACGGAGCGGAGAGAAGGGAAGAGGAACGGAGGAGAGGCGGAGGAAGAAACGGCAGAAGCAGCAGTGAGACGACATCACAGAGACCACGGGCTGGACAGGAGCAGCTGGGGAAAGGAAGGGATGGGGGTGGGGGGAGAATGGGGGAGAGGCCTTGGCCCGGTGGCCGTCTGGAACGCTCTTCCTTCTGATATTAGGAAGCCACTGGAGCGATCCACTTTGAAATCATCTAGATTGAAAAAACTCATTCTGTAGAAGTGCTTGTTGTGTTTCGTTTGCTGTTCTTTTCCTCGAACCTCCGATTACGTACGGTCCAAAAGAAGTTCAATGTGTAAACGACAAAAAAAACACCCTGTTGTCAAGTCTCTTAAGCCAAGCAGGCCAAAGGCTTGATAATGATTGTACGGGTGACCATCATGCAAAACATCGGCATTCCTGAGGGGATACATTGTGAGGGGAGGACAGTCCAGCAAAATCCATTGTTGTACTGTACTATTCTCCAAAGTCTATGCTCCCCAATACGTCAAACAACTTCCATGACGTCTCAGGATAAGAACTAAACTAAACTATTTTTTATTTCACCAGGTAAGGCCCACCGAGTTATATTGCTCTTTTTCAGAAGCGACCTGGCCACAAATGATAGCTCAACGAAGTGGCTTAGCATCACGTGGACATTTAGAGCAGCCAAATCCACGCGACCACGGGGAGAGAGAGACATGCAAACTCCAAATATACAGCAGGCATCAGGGTCGAAATCGAATCCGCGATCGCCTGCATACCAGGCGAGGTCGTTTAAATATCGCGCCACCACGAGAGGCCCTTGCCCAGCAGTGGATTCACACAAGAGCTGTCCATGTTGGGACAGCCAACAGCGCGACGGGTCGATTAGGCGAGCGGCGAGCGACAATGGGTACAAGAGAGAGGTGCCGTGTGTGCGCGTCCCGTACTTGGCGTCATTCTGGGCGGTGACGCCGTTGAGGGCCTCGCGAAGGATGCCGACCTCCTGCCGCAGCTTGGTCAGCTCCTCCTGTGCGCGGCCGTGCTCCTCGCTAACCTGCTGGAACTGTCACACGGTGTCCGCTTGCCTCGAGACGGCCTGTCCGCTGACTCGCAAACAACGTCCGCTCACCGGCAACCACCGCCCGCTTGCACGGTTTTTGATCTGTAAACGCAGTTGGCTTTTTCCGTGTTTTCCCTCTTGGATGGTGTTGCTCAGATTTCTATTTACTTCATTGATTGTTACTCTTTGGATCTTTCGGTAAAAAAAAGTCCAAATGTTACGGGTTCAAAAAAACACCTCCCTCCCCTCACTTACTCTCTCACACTCCTTCCCTCCCCCCTCCCCTCACACTCCCTCCCTCACACTCTCTCCCTCCCCTCCCTCACACTCTCTCCCTCACACTCCCTCCCTCACACTCTCTCCCTCCCCTCCCTCACACTCTCTCCCTCACACTCCCTCCCTTCACACTCCCTCCCCTCCCCCACACTCTCTCCCTCACACTCTCTCCCTCCCCTCACACTCTCTCCCTCACACTCCCTCCCTCCCCTCACACTCCCTCCCCTCCCCCCACACTCCCTCCCCTCCCTCACACTCCCTCCCCTCCCTCACACTCTCTCCCTCCCCTCACACTCTCTCCCTCCCCTCACACTCCCTCCCCTCACACTCCCTCCCCTCACACTCCCTCCCCTCACACTCCCTCCCCTCACACTCCCTCACTCACACTCCCCTCCTTCACACTCCCCTCCTTCACACTCCCCTCCCTCCCACTCCCTCCCTCACACTCCCTCTCCTCACACTCTCTCCCTCACACTCTCTCCCTCACACTCTCTCCCTCACACTCTCTCCCTCACACTCCCTCCCTCACCCTCTCTCCCTCCTCCACACTCCCTCCCCTCCCTCACACTCCCTCCCTCCCACTCCCTCCCTCACCCTCCCTCCCCTCCCTCACACTCCCTCTCCTCACACTCCCTACCTCCCACTCCCTCCCCTCTCTCACACTCCCTCCCCCCCCGCTCTCCCCGCCCTGCCTCACCTTCACGGCGAGCTGCTGGCCCTCGGCGGCGTGCTCCTGGCTGGAGGCCTGCAGGCGCGAGCGCAGCGCCACCAGCTCCTGCTCGCACGCCGAGGCCCGTGCCCGCTCGCCGGCCACTTCCTGCGAAAGGCGGGCGCGCGGTTCGACGGTCAACCCCTTACGATTCGACGGCCCGTACCCCCCGGTCGGTTTTTGTTCGCGCTCACAAAAGAAAGAAACTCAAAGCGAGTTCCCGGCTCGAATGAGTATTCATATTCTTGGGTTATTTCGGTAAAGTCACGTAGGTAAAAAATTCAAATTAATAAAAGTTAAATAAAAATAAAATAAAAATCACGACGTTTCGGAAGCAACACGAGCTTCCGTCTTCAGGTGGAACCGTCACAGCACGATTGCTGTATCAGCTTCAAATCTAGAAAGGCTCGAATGAGCTCGAGGCGCCGCTGAAATCCTCCCAACGCAGCCCCCCCTCCCCCCGCGCTGGAAATTAGACGTTCATATGGCGGGGAGAGGGGTGGCGGGGGCGAGTTTACCCACAGAGCATTGTTTATCGATCCCGGAAAGATGATGGACTGGGAAGACACCCCCCCCCCCACCAGCCAGGAGTTGAACTCGCAACCTTCCGATTGAGAGCGGCACGCTCTACCGCTGAGCGACCCGGCTCTTTGCAGCGTCCGTCTCGAACAGGGCTCGGTAAACTGCGGCCCTGGGGCCGCATGCGGCTCTTCACAGACTGCTTTATTGTATGTACAGTGAGGGAAAAAAGTATTTGATCCCCTGCTGATTTTGTACGTTTGCCCACTGACAAAGAAATGATCAGTCTATGATTTTAATGGTAGGTTTATTTGAACAGTGAGAAACAGAATAACAACAAAATCCAGAAAAACGCATGTCAAAAATGTTATAAATTGATTTGTAAATACTTATTTCCCTCATTAAAATGCAAATCAATTTATAACATTTTTGACATGCGTTTTTCTGGATTTTTTTGTTGTTATTCTGTATCTCACTGTTCAAATAAACCTACCATTAAAATTATAGACTGATCATTTCTTTGTCAGTGGGCAAACGTACAAAATCAGCAGGGGATCAAATACTTTTTTCCCTCACTGTATGCCTTTACATGCATTGCGGCCCTTGAAATATTGAGTATTGTGTACCGAATTCAGAAAAAATTAACCCGTAAAAACAAAGTTTTTCACTATAAATCCTTTATATGCGTGGCGGCTAGAGTCCTCTCGTCCTCTGGCTTGAGATGGCTGCCACCTATGGGTCAGATGATTGCATGGCAGCATTAAGCAATTGGTAATTAAATATAATTTTTTTGTCCTAAACAGTGTAAAATTTTGGGAAAAATGTTTCACGAACATTAATTGTCACGCACAACGAGTCTGTGTGGAAAATGTCAGCTCGATTGGATCACGGGAAGTGGGTTAAAAAACAACCGAAAGATTTGCACGGTCCTAAGTAAGCGAACTTAATATAAAGGATTTTTTTTTTAAATGGCTATTCTTGTTATTTTGTTTGCCGGCCCCTGGTGTCGTTTTGTCCCGATTCCCTTATTAAGGGCCGTTTCAATGTCACCGTTTCATCTGCAACGCGACTCGTTTGTAACGTGTGTTTTTTTGTACCACTACATTTATACAGAGCAAGTTCAAGGTGCAGCGGGTGGCACGTGCCTGGCACAGCAGCTGGATTTTCTTGTTTGCCTCGCCCGTCGCTTCCCTCTCAGCCACGAGTAGATTCTCATTCTCGCGCATCTTCGCTTTCAGACCCATGCCTTGGTCGGCCTGCGTACACAACAGGCGGTGTAACGCAGCAGGTGTGTGCAACAGGGGTGTGTGCAACAGGGGTGTGTGCAACAGGGGTGTGTGTACAACAGGGGTGTGTGCACACAGGGTGTGTGTGCAACAGGGGTGTGTCTGTAGAGGGTGTGGTGTGTATAGGGGGGTGCCGAGTGTGCGCGCAGTGTGTGTGTGTGTACAGGAGTGCGTGCAGGGTGTGTGTGTGTGTACAGGGGTTAGCGCAGTGTGTGTGTGCGTACAGGGGTTAGCGCAGTGTGTGTGTGTACAGGTGTGCGTGCAGAGTGTGTGTGTGTACACAGGGGTGTGTGCAGTGTGTGTGTGTGTAGAGGGGTTAGCGCAGTGTGTGTACAGGGGTTAGCGCAGTGTGTGTGTGTACAGGGGTGCGTGCAGAGTGTGTGTGTGTGTACAGGGGGGTGTGCAGTGTATGTGTAGAGGGGTTAGCGCAGTGTGTGTGTGTGTGTACAGGGGTGTGTGCAGAGTGTGTGTGTACAGGGGTGTGTGCAGAGTGTGTGTGTACAGGGGTGTGTGCAGTGTGTGTGTACAGGGGTGTGTACAGTGTGTGTGTGTACAGGGGTGTGTGCAGAGTGTGTGTGTACAGGGGTGTGTGCAGAGTGTGTGTGTACAGGGGTTAGCGCAGTGTATGTGTGTACAGGGGTGTGGGCAGTGTGTGTGTGTGTATAGGGTGCGTGCAGTGTGTGTGTGTACACAGGGGTTAGCGCAGTGTGTGTGTGTGTGTACAGGTGTGCGTGCAGTGTGTGTGTGTACAGGGGTTAGCGCAGAGGGGGTTGTGCAGCAAAGGGGTTAATTAAAGATGTGTTTGTTTGATGTTCATTAAGGCTGTGTAGTTTCGCGGGGAAGAGCGGTTCTATGTTGTGTTTTGTTGCACCGTTTGGTGTGTGACACCGTATCCCGGCGCTTTGCTCCAAGTGTCGCAGCAAAGCGTGGGGCGAAACGTCGGACAACGTGCCAAGCAGTGCGCGATACAACCCTTAAAGCACATCGGACTGTACTGCACAACCGCTAACACCTACCCAGTAATCACTTCAGGTGTATTATTTCCACCCACCTCCCCCGCACATAATTTTATCAGATCTCCGACGTAGCAGTGCAACCCTCCGTGTTAAAGAACGGTCCGCGGAAGCGGAGATCACAGAGCAACAACCCGAGACCCCTTCATGTGACCTCTGCTTTATTCATTTACAAAACTGTCAGGGCTGCAATTTTGCCAATTTAAGTTTTTGGTTTGCGTGTGTGCGGTCATTCGTGACCAGGCTGAGAGGCCATCAACCCACGAGGCCTGATATCTCCGATTCGTCACGACAGGCGGCTTGCCTGAATTGTGACCCCAGGAGTTCGGGGTGGAGCCCAGCGCTCAGGGCAGAGGTCGAAAACGGGTTTTGATTCCTTACCCGTACCTGGCCGCACCAGGGTCGCAAATGGGTACCCGTACCTGGTCGGGTACGGGTAGCCGTTCCCTACCCGTACCCTACCCGAAATGAGTGACAAACGGCTACTCACCAGTGACTCACGGCCTACCCGTACCCGGCCGCACCAGGGTCGCAAACGGGTACCCGTACCCAGTCGGGTACGGGTAGCCGGGTATCGGGTAGGGTACAGGTATCGGGTGCCCGGTTGCGACCTCTGGCTCAGGGGCATCACGTTGGAGGAGAGATGTTAACTCCCTGGCCTGGAATACAGGAGGTCATGGGTTTGCTCCAGACCCTGATGCCTGCTGCATATTTGGAGTTTACGTGCCTCTCTCTCCCCGTGGTCGCGTGGATTTTTCTCTGGGTCCTCCGGTTTTCCCCTCCACATTTATGAACATGCGCTTAAAGCATTTGGCTGCTCTGAAATGCCACGTGATAAGCCAATTTGTTGAGCTATTGTTATTGATAGCCAGGTCGCGTCTGAAAAAGAAGCTAATTTATCTCAGTGGGCTTTACCTGGTAAAATAATCATAAGATATTTTTTTTCTAACCTGCCCCGACTGGATATCTGTGAAAAAAAGTTTCGATTTAAAGCTTTCGTGACTGCAGGGATTCATCTTCTTGGTTCTTTCGGTAAAGTCACGTAGAAGGGAAGTAATAAAATAATAAAAATAAAACATTATAAAATAATTCTCACGACGTTTCGGCCACAACGCAAGCAGCCATCTTCAGGTGGAGAACAGGTCTGTCGAGAAGGCAGAGTCTGAATGGCACGCCCCAGGCTTGGAGCGACTATTTATATTCAGACTCTGCCTTCTCGACAGACCTGTTCTCCACCTGAAGATGGCTGCTTGCGTTGTGGCCGAAACGTCGTGAGAATTATTTTATAATGTTTAATTTATTTTATTTTATTATTTTCCTTCTTGTGAAAAAGAGCTTTACAGCTCATCTGATTTCTCCAGCATAAATCGAGCTGTCCGGTCACCCCCCCCCACCCCCCCCAACTCGTACTTCCCGAATGGCTCTCTCGTACCCGCCGGGGGGGGCGACCTCACCTCCAGCAAGGTGTCCTGGCTGATGCCCGCTCTGATGAAGTGCATGAGGATGCCCACGAGGTTGCCCGTCTCCTCGTCGGGCAGCGCCACTGCGCTCTTGATAGCCGAGAAGAGGCTCTTGCACACATCCGTGTTCTCTTCGTCAGCTGCGGAAATTCATGGGAGGTTAGGAAATAATAAAGTTGGATACAAACAATGGTGGCGAGTTTCATACATTGCCCTCTCCCCCCACCCCCCCCCCCCACGTACCCCCCCCAACCCCCATGTACTCATTTGGGTACCTGGTGTGCTCATCACCACTGGGGAGACAAAGGCGGCCGGGCGTGGCGTTGACCACCCACACTCCCATGTGTGTCGCAGGACCGGCCTTCATAGATGCTTCTCGCTAACAGCACTTGCCCCTACAGTCTATTGCAGGCTATACGGGGGATCTTTGTCTGCCCAAACCCAAAACCCACTTACTCGTTCTAGATTTGAAGCTTTCACTTACTCGTCTTAACAGTTTGACCGATTTCGATTTAAAGCTTTCTTGACTGCAGGGATTCATCTGCTTGGTTCTTTCGGTAAAGTCACGTAGAATGGAAATAATAAAATAATAAAAATAAAACATTATAAAATAATTCTCACGACGTTTCAAGCAACCGTCCTCAGATGAAGACCAGGTCTGTCGAGAAGACAATCTGAATGACTCACCCCAGGCTTGGAGCGTCTATTTAAACTGGGTTGGAGGGGGTGAGTCATTATTCAGACTCTGTCTTCTCGACAGACCTGTTCTTCACCTGAGGACGGCTGCTTGAGTTGTGGCCGAAACGTCGTGAGAATTATTTTGTTATGTTTTATTTTTATTATTTTATTATTTTCATTCTACGTGACTTTACCGAAAGAACCAAGAAGTTTGACCGATGGCATCAACTCCCACGTTTACCCACCGCGCTAGCCTCACGCACGTAGAAGAACTCACCGACAATCCCATCGCTGCCGACATCCTGCCTCCCCTTTCCCTTCCTCCTCCTCCTGCTCCTCTTGCCGAGCCCGGCATTGTCGCCCGGCAGGCCCGAGGCCTCCTCCTCCACCTCCTCATCCTCATTTGCTGGGGCCACGGGCTCCTCCTCCTGCAGCGGCGGTCGGGACGCGCCCTTCCCGGCCACTCCGTCGGCCGGCGCTGCCAACGGCATCGCAGGCGGAGCAGCGGCAGCGGTCACGGCGGTGACGACCTCTCGCTGCGGAGAGTGAGACTTGGATGACGATTTGGACGATGGCACGGGGGACGACGAGGAAGAGGAGCTCGAGGGAAGCTGCTTCGACGAGGAGGACGACGACGACGACGACGAGGTAGAGAACGTCGCCATCGCTTCCTGCGCCAGTTGCGGCGCGATCAATGCTTCCTGCAACTGCTGCTGCTGCTGCTCCTGCTGCCGCTGCCGCTGCAGCTGCTTCCTGCCGCGCTTGTTAAGCGGCGAGCCACTCTGAGGCCCCACGGTGGCGTCGCCTAACTCTGCAGACGCTCGTCCCTCTCCGTTCGCCTTCTCCGCAGAAACCGGAACCGGGACCTTGGCCGGCGCCGGGGCGGCGCTCACAGCCGGCGCTTTGGTGACGTCGTAGGTGGCGGCCTTCGTGGTGGTGGCGGTAATGGAGGAGGAAACATCTTTAGCAGCCGGACCCTTGGCTTTGGGAACCGCTTTCGCCATCTCGTGGTTCGCCGAAGCCTTGCCGGTTGCCGACGGCTTTGCCGCTGGCGCTTGAGCGACGGGAGTTGTTGCTCCATTGGTAGCCGTCACCCTGGCCGTGGCCGCAGCCTTCTTGGCCGAAGCGCCGGTGCCCACCGCTTCCTTTGCCGCCGCCGCCGCCTTGGTGGAATCGGGGGACTTCCCAGCCTGCACCGAGGAACCGGCGCTGGCTCTGCCGGAATCTGGCAGCTCCCCGGCAAAACGAGTGCCACCGCCGCCGTCGCCGCCGCCGCCAACCGCCGCCAGCGCAGGCAAATCAGGCGACGCGTTGGAATCGCCGCGCTTGTTCTTCCCGCCGTGGTTCGGTTTCTTCTTCTTGCCCTGCGCGACCGCTGGCGCCGCCGTGCCGTTGGCACTGCTGTTGGCGGCCCGCTGCCGTTTGGCCGCCGCGCGGCCGCCGGGCTGCGGCACGGCGACGGCGTTGATCGGCGCGGGGTTGATGACGTTGGCGGTGCGCGAGCCCAAGAAGGCGACCGCGTCCTCCAGGTCGCCGGCGGACGACGACGACGAAGACGACGGCGACGAGTCGGAGGCCTCGCTGGCCGTGGGGCTCCCGCTGCGGCGGCCCTCGCCAACCGGGCGGCCCCCGTTGCGCTTCTCGGCACGCTTGTTGCGCCGACGCTCCTTCCGTCGGCGCTGCTTGCCGCTGCCGCCGACGCCGCCGCCGCCGGCGCCGACGCCGGCCTTGAGCTCCGTCAGGGACGGGCTGTGCCGGCGAGTCAGCCCGACGTAGGGCTTCTGGCGCATGGAGAAGGCCGACACGAGCGAGATGGAGACGGCCGAGAAGACCATGAAGCTCAGGAAGTAGGCGAGCGCCATCGTCTGCGAGTCGGTGTCCATCGCGACGGCCCGGCCGGCGCTCGCGATCGGCAAACCCGACTACGGCGGGGAGGGTTGCGCGTCTGTGAACACAAACACAATCAAATTCATGTTACGCGGGTAAATGTCATTTCTTGTGCTCCGTCCTATCTCGCCGATCAGTGCGTAGCGGCTTCAACAGACCAAAATCGACTCCGACTACGATCCGAGGCTCGCGGCGACCTGCTGCTGTACTGGCTGCGTTAAACCTGTGTGTGTGTGTACAGGGGTTAGCGCAGTGTGTGTGTACAGGGGTTAGCGCAGTGTGTGTGTGTGTGTACAGGGGTTAGCGCAGTGTGTGTGTGTGTGTACAGGGGTGCGTGCAGTGTTTGTGTGTGTGTACAGGGGTGCGTGCAGTGTGTGTGTGTACAGGGGTTAGCGCAGTGTGTGTGTGTGTGTGTACAGGGGTGCGTGCAGTGTTTGTGTGTGTGTACAGGGGTGCGTGCAGTGTGTGTGTGTGTGTACAGGGGTGCGTGCAGTGTGTGTGTGTGTGTGTACAGGGGTGCGTGCAGTGTGTGTGTGTGTACAGGGGTGCGTGCAGTGTGTGTGTGTGTACAGGGGTGCGTGCAGTGTGTGTGTGTGTACAGGGGTGCGTGCAGTGTGTGTGTGTGTACAGGGGTGCGTGCAGTGTGTGTGTGTGTGTACAGGGGTGCGTGCAGTGTGTGTGTGTGTGTACAGGGGTGCGTGCAGTGTGTGTACAGGGGTGCGTGCAGTGTGTGTGTCTGTGTACAGGGGTGCGTGCAGTGTGTGTGTGTGTGTACAGGGGTGCGTGCAGTGTGTGTGTACAGGGGTGCGTGCAGTGTGTGTGTGTGTGTACAGGGGTGCGTGCAGTGTGTGTGTGTGTGTACAGCAGTGTGTGTGTGTACAGGGGTTAGCGCAGTGTGTGTGTGTGTGTACAGGGGTTAGCGCAGTGTGTGTGTGTACGATATGGCCAGAGCAGTTTCGGGGTCTGCGGCTTAAAGACCTGGAATACACGACCAAGCTCATGTTCGGGAACCTTCACCGAGTCTGAGCCGGTTCCGCAACAGACTCAAAACGGTGTTGTTGTTGTTGTTTCAGAGAGCCTCCTTCAACGTGTGATCAGTGCGCATTGGTGATGGGCTGGACTTGTAAGAGTGCGCAATATCAAATGTTCCTACTTACTTAAAAAAAGGATGTAAAAGCCAAGAATTAAAAAAAAACGACATGACGGACAAAGCAAAGTGCCAAATTACAACATTTGTTGGTTTCTTCTGATCAAAAAAAGGAGGGAGGGAATGGTGAGGCAAGCTCAAGGTACAGAACAAGACACTCATTAAAAGAACAATAATTAAAAACCGATAAACAGCAAACAGTCGAGCGGCAGGTCGCGTATGGTGGGGTACGATGCATCCACTGCAGGATGAAAGCCTCTGTGACCCAGAAAAAAAATAGACGAATTCATATGTGATTAGCGCGAGTACTGCCACCTCTTCCTCATAGAGACAGGGCCAGCATGGAAGAGTAGGCCAAATACGCACTACAGGGGTCTCTCTAAAGCACCACCCAGTAGAGCCCCTTTCATTCACACCAAAAGTTAAAGATCCCCCCCCCCCCGTATAGCCTTAACAGACTGTAGGGGCAAGTGCTGTTAGCGAGCACCTATGAAGGCCGGCACGGCACACGAGGGGGTGGGTGCCCAGCACCACGCCCGCCCGCCTTTGTCTCCCCAGTGGCGATGTTTACACACCGCACCAGGTACACAATTGAGGCCGAGTCGACCTAGGAGAAAGGTCCAAGATCCGTTTAAATAATCGTCACCGGTGTTGGCCATGAGCGGGAAATCGGACTCGGGTCGCCAGGTCCATAGCGCAGCGCGTTAACCACTACACTACCGCTCCCCACTACTCACACCACACACGCACACACAGGATCGCGCATCTGAAACCGATGATATTATCCACGACTTGTGCATATTCAAATTATATGTTACCGTACCTCGAGGCTCGTTGAACAAATAAGAGACAGATGATGCACGCGCACGGCAGGTGCCACAAATGAGACGGAACAAACAATCGTGACGACTCTTCAAATATTCACAGGCCCAGTAAGTTACACTGGGCCTGCAAACAACAGAATACACAATCATCTCTGTTGCCAACCACTGCAATAAAATAAATAAGTATTCTTTGAATGATAAACTACTGCACAGGAAAAAAAAGTGAGGCCCAAGTGCTTTATTTTTTTTCATTTCCTATCCAAATGAGCAGTGATGCAACAAATACTATCTTTACAGCCCTGAGCTAAATGGTGTAAATTCCACATTAATTCTAGATTTGAAGCTTTCGTGACTGCAAGGATTCATATTCTTAGGTTTTTTCGGTAAAGTTACTTGATACAGCTGTCGTGGCTGTGACTGTTCCACCTGAAGACGGAAGCTTGTGTTGCCTCCGAAACGTCGTGATTTTTATTTTACTTTTATTAATTTTTATGTTTTACCTACGTGACTTTACCGAAAAAACCTAAGAATATAAATTCCACATTTCTATGGCGGGGGGTGCATTCTCTCCATTGCACAGCCACCGTTGACTCCCATACCACCCCCCACATAGCAATACGTATTTCATGTCAACCTCGGGAAAGTGATTATGAGATCGGTTAACCCCTGCCCTTAACCGGGAGTGAACTAAACCTTGCAATATGCCAGGTCACCAGCGTGTACAGGCAAACCTTACCCAACGTGGCTTTATCAACCGCGTGTTAAATTAAATCATTAGCACGGTTGGCTACGTACGGCGCGAAATACGTTCAACGTAGAGACATACATAAACGTGCTTCGGCTCTGCACGGTGTACCGAATGAGGTATCGGTTTTCTGGAAACAGTTGCGTGTGAGTGCATCGACTGTGTGTGTTTTTTTTGTGTGGGGAGTAGTAGTGAAATGGTTAGCGCGCTACGCTACAAACCTGGGGACCTGGGTTCGATTGCCGCTCACGGCTAACACCAGTAAGCATTATATGAACCAGTCCTGGGCCTCCCCTAGGTCGACTCAGCCTCAAATGAGTACCTGGTATGATTTTTAAACATCGCCACTATGGAGACAAAGGCGGCCGGGCATGGTGTTGGTCACCCAACACCTCGTGTGCCGTGCCGGCCTTCATAGGTGCTCGCTAACAGCACTTGCCCCTACAGTCTATTGCAGGCTATACGGGGGATCTTTGTCTTTTTTTCAGTATGCTTTCATCCGTGATGTTACATTATAATGTTACATTACCACAGAAAAAAATGTAACACGCGCAACGCATATAGCCGTCCAATCGTTGAGAACGTTAGTCACACGGAGGCCGAGATGGCGAGTCATCAACACTCAAGCGACAGCGTAGGGGGCGAGAGAGTGCCACGGGGGGAGGGGGGCGAGGCTTTTGCGTTGGAGATGAAATAGAAAAATAAGGAATGTACACGCACACACACACACAAGAAATGGAGAGCGACCCAGCATCCTTTAGTTACAATGACAAGGGTGGAGATCGGGGTGTAGAATAAGTTGAACAAAGGAGGTGGTGGTGATAATTTCAGACCCAGGAACGCAATCCCTGTTGTTCCCATCATGAGGTCTCTACTGTTTGTCGACTGTAAGACTTTGCCCAACACGGAATATTCCGGGAACGCAACCCCCACGCGTTCGGCGAGGTCTGCCCGTACTTTAACACTTTTACTCTTGCGACTAACATTTCTTCCAAGGAATAACTGACCAGTTACCCGAAACAAATCCACGCCAGACATGAATAGCTCACGCTTGGATGGATCTTTTCGGACATTATTCAGAAACTATTTTTGATGACCCAGGAATAGATTACTCGTGGATGGCCAAGCGACAGGCTCGCCAACGCGATCTTCCAGAAACCAGTACAGTGGAACCTCGGTATACGACCGCTTTGAAATACGTTGAATTTGGTATACGTCGTGTTTTTTCGAAAAAAAAAACCGTCTTGGGATACGACGTCTTGCTTGGGATACGACGCGTTTGCTTGAACTTGTATGGGTCGGGATGAGTCGCGTACAGGACCCGCGTATGCCCGGTCACGACTGAAACAAAGCGAGAGGGGTGGGGGACGTGGGGGGGGGGGGATGTGGGGGAGGGGGGCGGGGGGCGGGGGGGGGCTGCCCCCATGGAGGGTGGAGCCCCGGGTCGAGGCACGCCACGTGACCAGCACAGCTGGCAGCAGCGCTGGTCACGTGGCTTCAGTATGCATTTTAGTAATTAGTGTCTAAATTATTTTATACAACCCCATTAATGTATAATATGCCACGTAAAATATAATTTCTTTTCCTCTGGAATGGATGATTTCCTTTGCCTTTATTTCTTACGGGAAAATTTCGTTTGGTGTCTACGTCATTTTCGGTATAAGTCCTCCCACCTTCTGGAACGAATTGACGACGTATACCGAGGTTCCACCGTATTGAGGAAACCCGAAAGGTACGGGGGGAGGCGGAACCGACCCGCTTCTCATGTCACCCTCCAATCTCCGCGTCGCCGCCAAGTTGCGTGTGAACAAAATATCGCTTTAAAATGTCAACGGCGCCATTCGCCAACGACTTCGTTGTTGCCGGAAAAAAACCGGCCGCAACCTTTCGAATCATAGCCGTCGGTTCATGCGACAAACTGTACAACAACGAGCTCGCATGATTCCAAGAGGCGGCAGATGGGTAGCAGTGACGCAGCGGATATCTCAATGAGCTGCGAGACCAGCGGCCAGTGGACGGTTCCTGGGGAGCGATCATCTGAATCAGTCCTGACCAGCGTCAAGTATGGTCAAACAATCCCCAACACCGACGCTGCGTGGAGGAGTCCTTCATCCAGCAGTTGATTGACAAAGTTGTGCACCGATGCCGACTTTATTGAGGGCGATATTGGCACGTAAGAGAAAGATTGATTGAAAGACGCCTTTCATTACAATATTCAAAAGCCAGCTTTCATACAATCTACACTTCCATATCATTGATTGGCTTATCGACTGCATGAAACTAACCACTGGTTCACAGGTCACACAGTGTCCCAGAAGTGATTTAATGTTCAAATAGGTTCG